GCGTAGATAAATTATTACGAGCTTCTCGGAGTCTAAACCTAGCTATTAGAGATACGATTACGAGTGTCTTCGAGTATATAGATAGAGGGTACTTAATCGATAAGAATAGCTACCCGTTTGAAAATCCTAATAGCTAGGTTAATAAGGCATTATACGTGTCTACTATAACTATAAGTTTATCGACAAGGCGGGTTTCTTACTAGTAGAAGTTAAACTTAGGCTACGTCTAGAAGACTATAGTATAGTTTTAAAAAAAGATTTAAACCGAAAATAGATAGGGGAGATATATTATCGCTTATTATAAATAATATATACTTTAATAACGCTACTACTAAATAAGATTTATATAGTACTAATTATAAATAGGGAGTAACGAGATACCCGTTATTAATGTATATTGCCCGGCGGATATAAGAAAGTTATTTATAGGACGAGGGAAGGAGGAAACAAGGCTAGACAACCTAGTAAGATTTGAATTTTATTATCTACCCTAATATAGCGAACTTTATATACGATATTAGATCGACAAACGTTTTACCTACGGTTAGATAACCCTACTCTTATCGGGCTTATTTTATAGGAAGTCCGAAAGATAATATCCTAAGGTAGTAGCTTATTATACTCCTATCTACGAGACTTTCGCTTCTACTAAGTATTCTAATTATAAACGCCTTAAACCTCGACGATAAATAACCCGAGATAACCCCTTCTCTAGCTTTATATACTACCTTATCCCTCTACTCTCCTACTAATAGTAAGTCGCTCTAGATTTCCCTTACTATCTTCTATAGCTATAATTACGGTAGCCTTCGTAGAAGGACTCGAATATCTAGTCTATATCGATAGAGACGTAGTATTTAACTTCTATCTATATATTTTAGGCTAAGTAACCTATTCCTCTTCCTAGTAAACCCTATACCCTTATAATAACCTACTTATCTAATCTAATCCTTCCTTCGTAAGTTTAGAGAATCCCTATAGATCTAATCTCCTACTCGAATCTTCTAAGGGTTAACTATTAAATATAGAAACATCTATTACTATTAGTTCGATAAACCTTATCCCTACGATTAGATAGACTTATTTTATATAGGATTATAGAAAAGGTACTAGACTACCTATCGATAAAATAAGAAGACCCGATATAAGTACTAAATAGCGAAGCGACTCTATTAGTATAATAAGAGTAATCTTTTAAGGATATAACTATATTTAAAACTAAAAGTAGGTAGGCCTAAGTAGCTACGGTCTACTAACTCCTAAGATCTCTCTACTAAAGTAAATACCCTTAGTATTACTTAATACCTAGCGGCTATAAGATCTACGATATAATATAGAAAGAACCGTAGCGAGCTATTACTAAAAGATAACGACGAATAAAGGCAAGTATATATTTATTATTATAAGTAGGCGAGATAATATTTAGATAATACTTTTCTCGTTAGATTTAGAGGAAGCTTAACTATATACTATATAGATATTTCCCGAATCCGTCTACGTAGTAGCTAGATCTAGTCTAAGTCTGCTTAGAAATTAATAAAATATATAGAGGATAATACTTGTCTCATAAGCCTTAGAGGAAACTCGACTATATCCTAGACAAATTTTTCTCGAATCCGTCTAAAAACTAGACAGACCCGACTCGAATCCGTATAGTAATTACGATATCTACTAAAGACTAGCTCTTTCCTCTTCTACGTACTCTAGGAAGCTTATAGTAATAGTACTTATAACTATAGATACGCTTAAGAATCTCCTCGTTATTTATTACGCCGATTGCTTATAAATATTTAGACTACGATAAGATACTTAGCTATATAACCTACTAATACGATAAAGGGATTGCCTTAGCTACGAACGTTTACTAAACGAACGGCTTAGATACTACTACTAATAAAGTATAAAGAACCTTACTACGAGGGGGTTAGTACGAGTAGCGGGAGGAGATATTTAAATCTCGCTTTCGGTAGTAGCCGTATTAAGCGCTAAAGGAGGTACTTTATAAAGCATCCCTAATTAGTACTCCTTATATACGAAGCCGACCTCTAAGCTTAGGAATTAAGAAGTTTTTAGTAAAGTTCTTATCCTACTATAATTACAAAATAGGAGTTAGATAATAGTAGACTTATTAGGTCGCTAGGATTAAGTAGAACTTAAGAAGCCTCTATTAGAGAGAGTTCTTTATACTATCTTAAAAAATGCATTAGAATAGGATTAGAATAGGGCTAGGCAACAGCTCAAGAGACCTAAGTAGTATTCTATAGAGTTTCTCGTATTATTACGAAGTAGGATCTAAATTAGGTTTAAGTAAGCTAGTAGTATTTAAATAGGCCTAGTAGGCTTAAGTAGAAGGTAAGAAGCCTAACCTATATTTCCTAGTACTATCGTATAGTAGGTATTAGAATATAGACAAAGTAAGTTTAGTATAGGTTTATAAATTAGCTTAGAAATATTTAGCGAAAGTTAAGAAGCCTTCGATAGAGTCCCTAGTACTATTACGATATAGGATTGTTATTAAGTTTAGAATAGGCTTAGAATTAGATTAGAATCGGTCTAAAATTAGTCTACGTAATAGCTTATAAGGATTGAATAGGAACTAAAAAGCCTCTAATAGAGGGATTTTTAGTATAATCGCGAGGTAGGATTTCGATTAGGTTTAGGTAAGTTAATAGTATTAGCCTAAGAGGACTAAGTAGAATTTAAGTAGTATTCTATATAGTTCCTAGTACTATCTGAACTAACTTTATCTAAATTATACCCTACCTTACCTTACGTATATTTCTATTCCTATATAGTAGGGCTTAGTATTACTAGATATAGCTATTAAGGTATACTAGAGGCTATTATATTCGCGGTCGTTTTACTAAGAAGCTTAGTAGTTATTCCGATAGAGGTAGCGTAGATATATAAGGTCCGATAGGAAATAGTTATATATTATTTAGTAGAAAGAAAGTTTTCTTTCTACTAAACTATAGGTAGGTATTATTACTTAGTAGGATAGTTATATACGATTTAATAATAAATTAAGGCAATAAGTAGCAATATCGGGTCGGTAGTTAGTATAGAGCTCTAGTTATTAGGGAGTATCCTTTTATTAAGTAGCTTATAGGTTAACCTAGTAGAGGTAGGTAGGTAGGAGGCTTATAATAAGCTCGGATAATAGGAGATACTAGAATTCCGCTTAATAGAATGTATACTTTATAGCGATCGAACGAATACTTTATACTAAAGTATAACCGGGTATTGTTAATTACTAAAGCCCCTAGATTTAAGAATAGAAGACGGTAGTAAGTAGGAGCGTTTAGTTAGCAATTAATATAACTACCTAGATATTTAGGAATATCGTCCTCTATAATATATTAGTAGATAATAGGCCCTATAGAGGCAGGCAGATTAATCGTATACTAAGTTTAGATAATAAAAGATTTTCGTATTCCCCTTAATAGAAAAGATACTTTATACTAATTAAAATTACACTTTATACTAACGTACGAGCGGGTATTAATACTCCTAAAACTCTCGGATTAAACGGATTCTATACCGAGAAATAATAGTAAGTAGGAATAGATCTCCGTAATTAGTCCTAAAGCCTACTAGGTATTTTAGGGAGTAAGGGTTTATTAAATAGCTCGGTATCTATCCTAGTCTCTAAGAGGTAGACCGAAGGTAGGATATACGATAATAGGAAACTTTTATATTCTAGTTAATAGATAGAAAGTTTGCCTTACGAGCGAGCGTTGTTTATTATAAGCAAACCCCTTTAATAGGTAGGATAGTACTAAGTAGGTAAACCGGTAACTAGTCCGTCTACCTAGCTATTTAGGAAAGTAGGGGTTTATTAAATAGCTTAGTATTTGTCCTAAGAGTAATAGGCAGGTCGAAGATATAATAAGCTTAGATAATAAAAAGTTCTTGTATTCCGATACCTTAATAGAAAGTGTACTTTGCGAGGGAGTATTATTAATTAGTAGTAAGTGCTTCGATAGGTCCGATAAGGAGAATAAAAGATAGTAACAAGTAGGCACGTTAGTAATTAGTCCGACTGCCGAGTTATTTTAGGGAGTGAGGAATATCTAAGTATCCGAGAGATGGGTTCGATAAGGCGGATAAAATATAACAAGCAGGCACGTCGGTAATCAGTCACACAGCCGAGTTCCTTTAGGGAGTGGGCCGGGTTCAAGTATCCGAGACTGCAGCCACGGAGCGAATACCTGCAATGATCACCATCGGCAGAGCAGCGAAAGACTTCCTCGAACCTTCTGTCCACAAGAGCGCAAGAGCCTATAACCTGTTTGTTGATCAGTGGAACGCTTGAGTTCGATCGAGGGCTGCCTATTGATCAATCTGGCCTACAAGAGACACTGACAGTTCCAAGTACCGGGAAAGACATTGACCCATGCACATGAGTGAATACCAAGGGCTTCAGACTGTGAGCAGGTAGGATTGTGATCGAGATACATTTCCCAGTAGACCTTTGAAAGCATCTTCGTATTGGAATGTGTACGAAACCAAATCTCCCGGCTCCTTGGGTGTCATGCGAGGCGAGGCATGTCCGGACACCATAGGCAGCTGAGCACAAGGAGACATGAAACTGGTTCCGGCCCTCAACCTCACGGCACATCTGAGAACATTGCCTGAAGCACCCTCGAGCCTCTTTGTATTCTCGTATGCCACCAGTACCTGATACATCGCTGGGCGTGTCGAGCAACAAGCATCTCCGACCCGCCGTCCACATCCAATACATCCAACACCGCACCAAGCGCTGCCACACCCATCACATCAAGCGCTGCCATACCAAGCCGAAGCGCCCCATTGCCCTTATCATCGATCCTCACTGGCCACTCGCCTCCCAACAGGACATAGCGCCATGTCGGCCCGGAAGATGTATCGCACCCAAATCCCATCAAGACCGCACCGCGCCGCCGACATGGTCAGCAACAAGACCAAGCGCAAGCTGGAGCGCGCTCAACGGCCTGAGCGGCGCTGGTGCCAGCTCCCACCTAGCTCTCCTTCTCAATGCGTACGCTCTTTTCTCCCTTCCGCACCTCTGCACAGGTAGCAGCACCCATGCTCTTCTCTCTGCTGCCTCTTCCCACAGTCGCTTGCTCTTCACCATCACACTCATGCCGCTTGTGACCTTTCACAACATCCATACTCTTCTTCTCCCTGTTCCTTCTTCCCACTGCCGCCGGGTCTTCGCCGCAGAACTCGTCTCGCTTGTGACCCTTTACAAGATCCTTACTCTTCTTCTCCCTACTTCTCCTTGCTATGGTCGCCTGTTCTTCTCCACCAAACTCTTCTCGCTTGAGACCTTTCAAATCATGCCCACCCTCGCTTATCTCCCGACGTTGAAGTTGCATAAGAGACGCCTCGAACTCGCCAAGGAAGGCGGTTGTCTCTGCGGCTACAGCTTTCTTTCGCTCCTCGTTCATTGCCGGTGGATGCTGTTCTTCGTACGCCGCCATTTCTCTCCGAAGAGCCCTGATGGCGATGAGGAAGGCGCTGTCGTTTGCGCGCTGTGCGTATCGGGAGAAGTTCGCATCGGCCATGGCTGTTCGTTTGGCGCACGTCGATTCTCGTGTGGCTTTTCGAGTGGTTGCAGGGGATTTATGTGTGCAGACTGTCAAGCTGGCATCGGATGATTTGAGTGCGGTGCTGCGGTCCGGTTGCGGACGAGAAGTATGCCGGGTTGCGACCGGCGTCTGAAGTGTTTCTGGAGGGAGGAGGAAGTGCTTGGTACCGAGGTTCCTGTAGGAGGTCATTGTATCAAGCATACCATTTCCGCGGAAGGTGAAGGTCGATCCTTGAAGCCGGTGCCATACCAAATGCTTCCTTCCTCGCGCGCGCAGTCACCCGGCGGGCGTCAAGCAAAGTCCATGTCAGTGTAGATTCGCGTAAGTAGGTCCAGTCCGGCCGAGCATTGATTGATTGACCTCGGCAGCCGTGATGACGAATGGGAAGTTGTTGAGATCTCAAGACAGGCGGAGTCTTTAAGAGATGTGTGAACCTTCTCGACCGGCTGAGGCATTAGCATCGGCATTCGCTGGGTGACGCAACCTCATTGGAGTCGGGCTGTCGGATTTTCGGACCGCAATCCCGGCAAGCGACGCCTCCTCTGATCATGGCCACTCCCACTGATCATGCTCATCCCCACTGATCATGGCCACTCCCACTGATCATGCTCATTCCCATTGATCATGGCCACTCCCACTGATCATGGCCACTCCCACTGATCATGCTCATTCCTATTGATTATGGCCACTCCCACTGATCATGGCCACTCCCACTGATCATGGCCACTCCCACTGATCATGCTCATCCCCATTACGAATCATAGCCACTCCTGTTGACTATGCCCATTCTCGTCGAGGTGTTGTCCAGGTCTTCCATTCTCGAGCCACCTTCGGCCCTCTCATTCAACTGATCATCTCTTGCCTGCCCGCGGTTGAGGCATGGAGCATCGCTGTGAAGCTTGTGACCTGCCTGATGAAACAGAACATGAGGTGGAGCAAGCTTCTTCGCTCGAGAGAACCACCAAAAATGCATGCAGAATGACTAGAGAAGCTCCCTCTTGCGAGATTGAAGAGAACTTCATGCACCCAGACATCAGATCTGTGAGCCAACACAGCGAGAACGCCTCTGAGATCACTGGAAGCCCTCAAACGTATCGATTGGAACCCTTCCATGATTGACCGAAGAACGAAGCATTGCCCATTGATCGAAGAACCGTAGCCACAGATTCACGTCGTCACTCCAGAAGTAGGAGACGACTCACGATAGGAGTGAGGTGTTGTGATTGTGGGTTTGTCCGGTGTCGCGCATTGATTGAAGAGCCGCGGACACAGATCTACCAACGATCGTCATTCCAGAGACAGGAGGCAGCCCACAATGGGGATCAGGAATGGTCGTTTTGGTTCCGTTCGGTATCGCACAGTATATGAAGGGCCGCAGAAACAGATCTCCCCGCGGTCACCATTCGAAGGCCGCTCCATGACCGAACAACTGTAGGTGCCAAACTGGTTCGCGCCAACATGGCATTGGAATTGGCGGCAGCAGTCATCACTCTCGACAGCCTGCAAGCGGTTGCACAAATCCATTTCCCAATGAGATGGTACGTATGACCCAAAAACTTGTCTTTGACGAAAGAGCATGTTGAGATCCCAGCGCTCGTATCGAGCCTTGTTCCATCGCTTACCGGCACCATCTCCGAAGCAGGCATCATGAACCAGAAAGAAGCAGAGGGGAGGCTGGAGGTTGTACAGCTGAAAGGCCAGTCCTCAATCAATCTTTCAAAGAGCAGGGGACTTGTCGAATGTGTCGGCCAGGTCGACAGGTTCGGGTCGAATTTGACACCTGGGCAAGTTTGAATCCGTCTACTACCCGGACAGGTTCGGGTCGAACATGTCCGGCACCTGGACAGCTTCCAGTCGAATCTGATTCCTGCCCGGGGAGATTGAAGTCGAAGATGTCCAGCAAGTGGACAAGTTCGGATCAAATCTGTCCAACACCCGGACATGTTCGAGCGAAATCTCGCTGCTACTACCAGTATGCAAAATGAGAACGTGTCTTCGTAGTACAGCAGCGGTGGATGAAGTCGAAATCCTCGTTGATGACCACCAACTTCACCATATCGTCACTATGCATGTCCGACCGGCAGCAGTCCCGTAAGTCAGCAATCTTGACTGGAAAGCAGAAGCAGCAGGTCGAAAGGGTTCCAGGTACAGCAGATAACAGTGTCGTTGACGAGACGACGAGTGCCAGCCCACAGAGACTTGCAGCAGCAGCGGCGGCAGCATCAGCAGATCCAAAGCGTTCCAGGCATGGCAGATGACAGCTTCTCCGACCAGAAGTGCGACCACCAGCGTGACGTGTAGTAGCAGCGAAGACTGCAGCAGGAGAGAAGCAAGCCTTTGATGGAGCATGCTGCAGATTGAAAACCTCGAAGGCACACAGGAGATGACTGCGTGCTTGACCAGAAGTGCCAGCACAGGGTCGTGTAGCAGCCGCGATTGCTGCAGCGGGAGAGGAGCAGGCCAGGAGAGGAGCAAGCAAGAAGTATGCAGCAGATCGGTCGAGAGCGTGCAAAGCACAGTGGATGACAGCGTCCTTGACCAGAGGTGCCAGCGTAGAGACGTGTAGCAGCAACAATGGCAGCAGCAGTGATAGCAGCAGCAGGAGAGGAGGCGGCCCAGGGAGGAGCAAGCCAGGAGAGGAGCAAGCATGAAGCGTGTAGCAGATTGATCGGAGATTTCGAACATGAAGCAATCGACCATAGCCAGAGTAAAAATGGTGCTCGTCTTAGTCCTTCCAGAAAATCAGATTCCCGAGAAGTTCAAGCCCTTGCACCACGTCAAGGTGCGAGCACATCAGCAAGGGTTGGCTTTTATACAGTTTTTATACCATCTGTGAGAGTTTTTTTCTCGGTTTACTCACAACCTTTGCAAGCTCTGCTCCACAGGCTTTGCTTTACCAGACAGCACTTCGAAATGCGGGCGCGAAAAGGTCGCGATTTCTTTGGGCTTTTTGCAGATCGTCGAATGCAGCGAGAACCAGATCTGGCTGGTTTGGTGGCGCTGCGAGGAAAACTCTCTCTGCGGCTAGGACTGCCGCGTTTAAACTTGCGGCGAGGCGCTCGGCATCTCTCTCGGGATCGGGGCGAGGGCGGGGGCGAGGGTGAGGGCGGGGTGATAGCGATGGCGACGGCGAGGGCGTTGGCTCTGGCGTTGGCTCTGGCTCTGGCTCTGGTCCTGGTCCTGGTCCTGGCGCTGGCGCTGGCGCTGGCGCTGGCGCTGGCACAGGCGGTAGCACTGGCACTGGCCCTGGCTCTGACTCTGGCTCTGGCTCTGACCTTGGCTCATCCTCCTCATCGAGATGGTTCTGAAGAAACGACGAAAAGTCGTCCAAAGGGGGTGGCTGTGGCCTGCCACCTTCAATGCTGCGGCTGCGACTGCGACTAGGGCTGCGACTCCTGGTTCTGCGGCTGCTTCTCCGGCTGTTTCTGCGGCTCCCATTAGAAACGACGGTGTCGTTCGTCAAATCCAAGTCCGACCGATCTCTCGATCTAATGTTATCGATCAGAATTCGCAAGTCTACTGGCTGCAACTTCGGCTCCCGCGAAGTGCCTTGCCGGCCCTCTCTGTTCTGCACGCGGTCCCGGATTATCTCTTGGAGGGCTCCGATAATATACGGTACATTCGTAACCCGACGAGCCAGGAAGCTCAGCGACCGCAGAATCCGCGTCGACCAGGAAGCTGGCTCATATCCGCCCAAGTTCCAATCCCACTCCGGCCATTTGTCCTCAATGCCGATTGCGAGTGTCTTGCCTTCGAGATAGACTTCATTGGCGGTACGCACAAAGCTGAACAACGACCTCCTCTCCCCGAAACTTTTCAACCAAGAATCCGCGAGTTCTCGATCAATTTCCGCAAAGTATCGCATATATGCATGCAGCTTTAGCGCTTCCACTTCGGTCGATTTCGTCGTATTAATTAATGCCTGCTTCAAAATTCGAACTTTGTTGCTATGACTGTATTGCTCCAATGAATTGACGACATTAATGTATTCGGCATCACCCTCCAAAGTAACGGAGTCGAGGAGCTGAGACATTTTTGATGTTGTAGTCGGAGAGAGTGCGGTCTAGTCTGGTCTGGGCTGGGCTGGGCTGGGCTGGGCTGGGCTGGGCTGGGCTGGGCTGAGCTGGGCTGAGCTGGGCTGGTCTGGTCTGGTCTGGTCTGGCTGGTCTGGTCTGGTCTGGTCTGGCTGGTCTGGTCTGGTCTGATCTTGTCTGGTCTCAAGTCAGGTTTGGTATGAAGGCTCAAAGGTGACTACCCACCAGACAAGAAAGCAGCTGCTCTCCTTCCTAGGCTGATTTGTTTACATCCACTCTTGTACGCAGCCACTGCCTACATTCCCAACCCTTCCTCCTGCCATCGAACTCGTACAGCCCACGTACTCTTTCCGCCAATTAAGCTGTGAAAATTCACAAGACACTGAGCAGCGAGTGAGAAACCTATAGGAGAGCGACTACTCTTTACTCGAAAACTACCTACAACTCCTCCTGCCCTCCAAGACGCAGTCTCCTACCCTCCCAACCGTGTAGCCCTATCTTCCTTCCGCGCATTAAGCTGTGAAAATTCACAAGATACTGAGCAGTAAGTGAGAAACCTGCTGGAGAGCGACTACTCTTTACTCGAAAACTACCTACAACTCCTCCTGCCCTCGAAGACGGAGTCTCCTACCCTCCCAACCGTGCAGCCCTCTTTTCTTTCCGCGCATTAAGCTGTGAAAATTCGCAACTTAATGAGCAGCAGGCGAGCCTCAGGATCTACAGCAGAGGAACTGACTTTTCTGACTCTCAGCTCTTAACAACTCCTCCTTCCCTCCTGCTATCAAGTCCTGCCGACGAACACTACTCACACACTAGCTAAGAGTTGTCTCGCACGTTCTTGACACTACTCTGCCACCTCCCACACTCAAATCCAAACCCACCCATGCCTATGCCCTCCGCCATAACAACAACGAGTTCCTAAGGCACCTCATCGGCCATGGAATCCACTTCATTGAACAGACTTTGCACGCCGACGCCGACGCCGACGATGCTGGCTGCCACTCGCAAGTCACTATAGACAGATGTTAAGGTTCCTGGATTCGCAAGGCAGCTACATCGGGTCGTAAAATCATGAATTCCTTGATGAAATGTGCAACGAGAGACTGATACCTCTTGAGGTCGTTGGTGGTGGCTTTGCATTTGCTGAACAGCCGTAGCGAGCGAATGCTTGGAATTGGAGTATAGATTGTATCGCAATCAGCTATGTGGAACTCTTCAAGAACTTACTCGATGTATGCTTATTGACGGTGATATGTACAGCGAAGCCGAGCCGTAACGAGGGCGTGTTTGAGACCATTCGGAGTTTCTGCCTTGTTCGGACACGCTCGTCATTCCTGCCCACGGGTTGAGAATCTGCAGCCGCCCGCAGCTCTCGGATGTGCTATTCATTACCATTCGACAGAGCGTGCACGCTCTTTCTACGCTGAAATGTTTGGTACTGGCGGGGCAGTGCTCGCAGAGGAGAACAGCTCGGACACATCTCCTCCAAGTACAGCCATCCGCGAGTGCAGGTTGAAACTGATAAATTTGGTGAACTCCTTGCTTCAATTAGCAAGGCTGACATCATACCATATTGAAAAGAGCCGAGGACCGAAAGGTGGCTGTTCATATAAAGGAAGTCACTATGCACAAGCTTCAAGTGGATCGCCGAGATGGAAGGGCGTGGGGTGGTGAGCAAGGCCGTGGGGTGGTGAGGAATTCAAGAAGCATGTCGTCAGAACTTCGAAATCGCTGATTACAAGACACCCACATGCATACGCCATCTCTCTGCCGTGAAGAGTGGTCATGATGTCTGTCGCTGGCATCGCTTAGACTGCTGAGTCGTCTCCGCGTGCACCGATTTCCACCCACCCTGTCCCAACCACCACCAAGCCCATGTCTGTAGGGCCAAGAAGCTCCAGGCGCCACGCCTGCATATAGCACGCGAGCAACGGCAAGGCGACAGCAGCATCCTTTGTCCCAATCATCTCCAAGCCCATCGGTGTAAGTCGAAGAAGCTCCAGGCGCCACGCCCAGACCCAACTCGCGAGCAGCGGCAAGACGACGGCAGCATACCTTATCCCAGTCATCTCCAAGCTCATAGGTGATGGATGGCAAGAACCTCCAGGCGCTCCGCCGAGATACAATTCGCGGGCGACGGCAAGACGAGATCATACCCCATCCCAATCAGTTCCAAGCTCATAGACAAGGCCCAGAAGCGCAGGCACTACGCCCAGATCCAACTCGCGGGCGGCGGCAAGACGGCAGCATACCACACCCCAATTACTTTCAGGCTCATGGACAAGGCCAAGAAGCGCAGGCACTACGCCCAGATCCAATTCGCGGGCGGCGGCAAGACGGCAGCATACCACATCCCAATTACTTCTAAGCTCACAGGCAAGGTCAAGATGGTCAGGCACCACGCCTAGACACAACTTACGGCATCGGCAAGGGCACTGCATACCTTATCTCAGTCATCTTCAAGCTCATAGGCAAGGTCAAGAAGTTCAGACACTACGCCCAGACACAATTCCCGGCAGCATGATTTGTCCCAATCATCTCCAAGCTTGTGGGAAAGGCCAGGAATCTCAGGCACCACGCCCAGACGCAGCATGCCCCATCCCAATCATCCCCAAGCTCGTGGACAAGGCCAAGAAGCTCCAGGCGGCATGCCCAGATACAAATCGTGGCTGCATGCCCCATTCCAATCATCCCCAAGCTTGTGGACAAGGCCAAGAAGCTCTAGAAGCCACGCCCAGATACAACTCGACCCACCTGATCCCGAATCATCTCCGACTTCATGGGCAATACCAAGATGCCTCCACGGGCTACGCCAGATACCACTCGAGGCAGCATGCCTCATCCCAACCATCTGCAAGCTCATGGACCTTGCCGAATCATCTTCAAGCCCATGGGGAAGGCCAAGAAGCTCCAGGAGCCACGCGCAGACACAACTCGCGGCACCTCATCTCAGCCATCTCCAGCCCATGGGCAAGGCCAAGAAGCTTCAGATGCCACGCGCAGACACAACTCGCGGCACCTCATCTCAGCCATCTCCAGCCCATGGGCAAGGCCAAGAAGCTTCAGATGCCACGCGCAGACACAACTCGCGGCACCTCATCTCAGCCATCTCCAGCCCATAGGCAAGGCCAAGAAGCTTCAGGTGCCACGCGCAGACACAACTCGCGGCACCTCATCTCAGCCATCTCCAGCCCAAGGGCAAGGCCAAGAAGCTTCAGGTGCCACGTACAGACATACCTCGCGGCACCTCATCCCAACCGTCTCCAGCTCATGGGCAGAGCCAAGAAGCTCCAGGTGCCACGTCTACACACAACTCGTGGAACCTCATCCCAATCATCTCTGGGTTGATGGGCAAGACCAGGAAGCTGAAGCCGCGACGCCATGTGATGCTCCACGCCTTGGGGGTAGCTGTCTCGCCCTCGTTCCTTGCCTTGAGATGAGCTATGGCGCGACGATCTTCGCCCTTCCGCAGAGAGTCGTGCGTTCTTCGCGCCTATACCATCAAGAGTGCTGAGAAATGCCGGAGTCCACACAACGATGAGGTCGGCTTTTGTTGCTGCAAAGGCGTGGTGATGTCGATGCTTTCAAATTGATCTCCGTTGGGCTTGGGGAGTTCGATGGGTACGAGAGTAATCGGTGCGAGTGCTGCCGTGACGGGAATCTTGCCATGTTCCTCGAAGAGAACTTCGAAGACCCGCGAAGGCTGAATGGCGTGTCGCCAGACCTGCCCAGGTAAGCGTTGATGGAAATCGGGCCACTTTCTTCGAAGACGCAATCAGAGACCCGCCTCATCATTTTGCGTCGATTTCTGTGCCGCCAGGTTCGCTCGATCCAGGGCTTCTTCGGCTTGCTGGCGCCAATCCGTGATATGAATCTTCCTTCCTTTCGAAGCTGTTTCAGCCGACGATGCTACCTCACAACCCATCACGCGCGCCAATGTGAAGCCTTGGTGACTTGGTCTGACGATAGCATCCTTGACAATCCTTGAAAGCCTCTCCTTGCTCCGGCGGCCATTGGAGCCATAGTCCGAGTCCTCGCTGCAGTCATTCTTGCTTTGTCTGATCTCCATCCAGAGGCTTCGTGCCTGCCTTTGGTGTAGAAACGCGGCACCAGCGAGGTGTGAAAGTCGGGCATAAGAGTGTGGGAAGAGACAACTTGTCTTGCACCTGAACCGTCTTCGGGCTTGTCGTCTGAAGGCCTGTCGTCTGAAGGCAGGTTCATCTCCGATTGTGGTGGCCAAGCGAGAAGAGAGCTTCGAGAGAGCCGCTGGCCGCCTGCACCGCCTGTACCGCTTCCAACCATGCATGATACCGCCACCGCATCACCCCTCCTTCTTCCACTCTAACCCCCACACCTCCACAGCCACTCATTGTCGTCGCAGCGCATGGGCTTTTGATACGCACACACTCTGAGGGCGAACATACCATCTCCTTGGACAAAAAGGTCTACGCGGGCCGACGGAACGGCCCCTCGCCTGCCGTAACGTGGGGAAGGAGAAGTTTCTGATGCTGTTTCGATCTTTGTTGGATTCATATGCGTGCGCTACACTACGATGCGATTGCAATGATTCCTGCAACAGAGGAATCGCAGCATCGAGTTCTATCATCCAAAACTGTGCGGGATGCACTACAATGGCAATGTATCATAATGGTGTGGTTCAAGGCTGGCTGAATCGCTGAGCGCTGCCAAGCCTGTATCGGTAGGACTCGTCAAACCTCCGACATTCGCGCTATCACCAAGTTCTCCTTACAACCTTTCATTCGCCTACCACAGCAAAGTTCTCGTTTTTCAAGACTTCATCTTTGCCCACAGCGTATGCCAATTGTCGACCAATTCTTGTCCTATGGGCAAACCAAAGCACTGCGAGCGCAATCCTCTCCCAAAGCCATTCACTAACTTTGACTTCAAGAATCCCTCTGTCCAGGGCAAAGATGACACCTCTACGACGCTGCATCAGAGTCATCCGAGTCATCATACCCACCATATCGTCCCACGAATTCGTCGGAACACCCAGTGATACTGCAGGCGGCCATGAGCCCACCGCGCCGCCCCGAGAATCCTCTGTGCAAGGCATCGATGACCTCCATGACGCACTGCCAGAGGCATCCGAGTCACCATCCTCACTCACCACGTCCTCGTCCGAATTCCTCCAAGCGCCCAACGATGTTCCACATAAATATGAGTTCACCGCGCCGCCCATCTCCGTCCCACTGGGTTGCCTCAATAGCAGGGGATCATGATGCAGCAGCCGCAAAGGCCGGATGGAAGCGGTCATGAATTGGCGCGCGTGCAGAGGACATGAAAGCATATGGCAGAAGCATGTTGATGAGTACTAGCAATCACGGGGCGCAGCTTTAGAGTTCTCAATATCGAATTCGGTTAATCAGTCAGGACATGTCTCACGATACTCAAACAAATGCGGTGACGTCTCGGCTGACATCCATTGATGTACGCATTGAAACTCAGCTGGTTGCGGCAGCCTGCAGATCGGACAAATCCCTTCCTCGGGTGGGTTGGGTGGTAATCTGTATTCGAGTAGAGACCGCCACGCAAAGCCATTGGCGTCCAGAGACAGTCATTGGACTACGATCGCGTTCCAGCACTCGTGAGGCAACGACCTCGAATTCGTCGAAGCACCCAATGGGCATCATCAAGCCTACTGCGCCGCCCATCTCTGACCTAGTCGCCTCAACTGCCGAAAATGAAGCAGCAGCTGCCAATCTTCGACCCAGTCGCCTAAACAGCAGGCGACAATGACACAGCAGTCGTCAGCGCCTACGAGCTTCCCATCTCAGACCCAGTCGCCTTAACAGCAGGCGACGACGGCGCAGCAGCCGCCAAAGCTCACTGGCCGCCCATCACCCAACCCAATCGCCTCAAGCGCAGACGAAAATGTCGCAGCAGCCGCCAAAACCGCCGATGTCGAGCTTCTGCACTGCCTGGTGGACAGAGAGAGTCGCTTTCGACTACGACGCGTTCCAGCGCCGAAGAGGCAACGAGGGCAACTGGGTCGGGCAAGGCGCCGTCTACGAGTGGTCCAGAGACTATAGAGACGTCGCGCCGCAAGTCCTGGAACTGGAGAACGTTCTCCTTGGTTCTGAGGACATCGCGCTACGAGTTCGTGAACCAGAGAACATTCTCTTTGGTATTGAGCTGATGCTCATGAAGGCACCCACTGCACCGCCATCGACGACATTGAGGTCACTGTTGAGCTCGGGACGACCTGCAAAACTGGCTCCCATTGAGAACGTAGGTTCACCTCCATTGATCGGTCCCCAATGTACTGACACTTGCTACAGTTCACCGATGCTGGCCTACACCAACTCGTCCTGCAGAATATCGAACTCGCCGACTGCAAGAAGCCCACGAAGTCGAGCAAATCAGAGAGTGGTAGGGGTCACGGCGATTGAGGAATGAGCACGAGGCATGAGCTACAGGAGTGAGAATGAGGCATAAGCAGAAGAGTGAATTCTTTTCTTCTTGCAATCGACGTTTCTACAAGCCTTCCAAGATCTGTACTCCCAGTTCCCAATCTCTCTCGAAAACCAACCCCAAGAATGAGAATTGTCCTTCCATTCGGGAAGTCATCTCGTCGCGCAGGGCATGTCGTACTTTGGAGCCGCTTGCTCGAATTCGATACGCCGAGACATCAAAGTCGCCAATGCGTTTTTGTGCGAACCACGCGATACCGAGACAGCAAAACATGCGGAGTGGGTGTCGTGGTGCCAGGACTCTCTGCTGAGCTCGGGAGAAGAAGGGTCGTGCCATGAAGAAGGAAGATGTGTTGGGGGTCGAGAGTGCGGCGATCAGGTTTCTTCTCCTTGCTGCGAGAGCGGCAAAGAGTCCGGAGACGAGACGGCAACTGGTAGAGGTCGTGATCGGAGTGATCGGGAAGATTCTGCTGGCAAATGCCTGCCCCTGCGCCCATGATAAGAAGGTCCAGCCTCTGCCTTGGCTCGCTTTTGTGCCTTTGCTTCATGCGCCACGAAATTGGCCTCTGCGTTATCGCTCAATTCTTCCGGCGAGGAACTTCGCTTCCGTTTGGGACCTTTCAGCTTCTTCGTATCGCGAGCCACGATGTTGTCGTCTGGCGGCGCTTCCGCTTTCTGAAGCATTGCAGCGAGTCGTGCATATGGGATGTCGATAAACACAGACTGGAGCGTGGCAGGAAGAAGATCCGGAAAATGTTCAGCCAAGACAGAGTCACTCAAGAGGTCCCAGGCGGAGAGGCGCAGCATTCCAGGAACAGGTTGGCCGTCCGCTGAACGGAACTCCTCCTCTCGGACTGGCATTTCAATTGTGAACTCATCCTCTTCCCTACTCCCTCGCCACACACTGATGATTGCCCTCTGGTCATTCTTCACAGGATCCAGGTGGACGCCCACTACGCATTTCACCAAGGCCTGCGTGCCGGAGATCCAGTTGTGCCCGTCTCTCTGCAGCTTGTCCAAACTTTCCGTCTTGGCGACCTCGAGAAGAAAAGTGGGATATGTTGTATTGTGGGAGGAGTGTTTGAACGATGCGTCGGGCTGCCTTGGGTATGAAATTGCATCCTCTTCCCAGTGCAGCTTCAAGTTCGGACTGCCCGTATCACATACGTCACTCAATGCTTCTACAACACGCCTCCATTCAGATCCATTGAGGTTGCGGATTGTATGTGCAAGTTGTTCAGTCAGCTCGGTAGCAAAGCTCCGAATGAAGCGCTCGTGAATCTCCCCCGGCATCCACAGCTGCAATGCATTTGTCTCGGCGCCGTATTCGTAGCGCGCCCGATGCTGCCACCACGCCGACAGCCCCCGATCTCGATGTTCGTGCAGAAGATAGTGTTCAAAGTCGGCGAGCGTGTATGGACTGAGGCAGATGGCGTGGAGCTGAGAGTGGCGCTCTGCGTGGTGATCGGACCGTAAGCCGGCAATCTGACTGGCAATGTCGCGAAGCTTTGTCTGCCGGGCAAGGGATTCGGACGTAGAGGGTGGCGAGGAGGAGCGTGATGGAGAAGAGGCAGATGCGCGCGCGCTGGAGAGAGAGGGAAGGCCGCTCGCCTTCTTGAGCTGCTTGGGGAGCGGAGACGCAGGAGGCGATGGTGGGAGCCCGCTCGTCGTCGGCGGCGGTGACACAGACCCTGGAGACGGTGACGGTGACGGTGACAGAGCGGTGCGACCAGAAGGTGACTGCTGCGAGGACATGGGAGTTATGGGGCCAGTGAGGCTGCGCACGTCGATGCGATGCGATGGAATACTCTGCGCTGTTGTTGTCGTGTCTGTGAGGAGAGAGGTTCGAGGGAGAGGCTCAGCTCCGCGGCGGTCACAGCCGGGAAGATCCGACAGCCGACCCAATCGGCCACGCTCAAGTCTCGAGACCCTGTATACAGTGCAGCGCAAGTTGTTCGCCGATGTCCCAGAAATAATTCCGTTGAAGGCAGACGGGCAACGGCAGCTTCACGAGACGTGTGCAGCGGAATTTTGTTTAGCCTCACACTAACAGATACCTTCGAACAGTGTGCCTAATCAATTAAGCAACAAATATGTTACTCCTAGATCTACGAAAGCCGCAGTCACTATATAGAAGTAGTATAGGTAGCTAAGTATACGGTAAATAGCTATATATAAAAGTGTACGAGACTTCTATAATATAACAACTTAACAAAAGTTGGGGCCCCTTTAGGCTTAGTGCGGCTTAAAACGACCGAAAAGCCGACTCTAATTAGTCGGCGGCGAGGAACTTTAAAATTTCTCGATTCTCGCGCGGTCCGGAAGGCGTAGGAGTCGCGGGATCGACTATAACGCTCCGGCGCCGCGATAGTAGTGTTTCCGAGGCCGTCTCCGTCGTTTACGCCTAATCCGGCGGCGTTTTTTGCTCGAGGCGGTATCGTTCGCGCCTAATCCGGCGGTATTTGCTCGGAGCGGTAGGCTCGAAAGGCTTATCCTACGCGTTCCGGATAGTACTACTCGCTATAGGCGTTTTATAGGGTACTTATAGTAGGCGTTAGATAAGGTACTCGCTATAAATAGTTCGAATCCTATTTAACTATAGGCGTTTTAGATAGTATTTGCTATAAGCGTTTCGGATAGTACTACTCGCTATAGCTATCTCGGACAGTTACCGCTATAAGCGTTTCGAATATTACTACTCGCTATAAGCGTTTTTAGTAGTATTTACTATAAGCGTTTCGGATTAGACTTGCTATAAGTATTCTAAATAGGACTTACTATAGGTATTTTAGATAGTCCTACTTGCTATAAGCGTTCCTAATAGTACTTGCTATTTGCGTTCCGGATAGACTTCCTCTACGCGTTCCGGATAAGACTTAGTATAAGCGTTTCGGATTAGAATTGCTATATAGTACGTTCTAAATAAAACTTAGTATAGGCGTTATAGACAGTAGTACTAACTGTTAGCGCTCCGGATTAGAGTTATTAGACTTACTATACGCGTTCTAAATAGTACTTAGTATTATAAGCGTTCTGAATTAGAGCTATTATAGGCGTTATAGATAATAGTTAGCTTATCCTACGCGTTCCGGATAGTACTACTCGCTATAGATATTCTATAGAGTACTCGCTATAGGCGTTATATAGGGTACTCGCTATAGATAGTTCGAATGCTATTTAACTATAGGCGTTTTAGATAGTATTTGCTATAAGCGTTCCGGATAGTACTACTCGCTATAGGCCTTCCGGATAGTGCTTCGTATAAGTATTTAGTTTCGGATTAGACTTAGACTTACTTTATACATTCCGGATAAGACGTTCTATAAGCGTTTCGGATTAGACTTGCTATACGCCTTCCGGTTTATACTGTACTAAGCGTGTAAAATAAGGCTTGTCCTACGCGTTCCGGATAGTACTACTCGCTATAGATATTCTATAGAGCACTCGCTATAGGCGCCCTATAGGATACTCGTAGTAGGCGTTATATAGGGTACTTACTATAGGTAGTTCGAATACTATTTCCTATAGGCGTTTGAAATAGTATTTACTATAAGCGTTTCGGATATAATATAGTACTTCTTGCTATAAGTATTCTAAATAGTACTTACTATAGGCACTTTAGGTAGTACCGCTTGCTATAAGCGTGCTTAAATTTTAATAGTACTTGCTATTAGCGTTGCGAATTAGACTTGCTATATACGTTCCGGATAGTGCTTACGCTACGCGTTCCGGATTAGACTTAGTAGAAGCGTTACGGATTAGAATTACTATATAGCGCGTTTTAAATAAAACTTACTATAGGCGCTATAGATAGTAGTACTAACTGTTAGCGCTCCGGATTAGACTTACTATATACGTTCTAAATAGTACTTAGGATTATAAGTGTTCTAAATTGAAATTCCTATATTTATAGAGTACTCGTAGTAGGCGTTATATAGGGTACTCGCTATAGGTAGTTCGAATACTGTTTAGCTTTAGGCGTTTTAGATAGTCTTTACTATAGGCGATCCGGATAGTACTGCTCGCTATAGATATCTTAAACAGTTACCGCTATAAGCGTTTCGAATGTTACTACTCGCTATAAGCGTTTTTAGTAGTATTTACTATAAGCGCTTCCGATATAACTTGCTATTAGTATTCTAAACAGTACTTACTATAGGTATTTTAGATAGTACTACTTGCTATAAGCGTTCTTAGCAGTACTTCGGATTAGACTTGCTATACGCGTTCCGGTTTATATCGGACTAACTATACTAAGCGTTTAAAATAAGGCTTGTCCTACGCGTTCCGGACAGTACTACTTGCTATAGGTATTCTATAGAGTGCTCGCTATAGGCGTTCTCTGAGGTACTCGTAGCAGGCGTTATATAGGGTACTCGCTATAGGTAGTTAAAATACTGTTTGCTATAGGCGTTTTAGATAGTGTTTGCTATAAGCGTTCCGGATAGTACTACTTGCTATAGATATCTCGGATGATATAGTTACCGCTACAAGCGTTTCGAATATTACTACTCGCTATAAGCGCTTTTAGTAGTATTTGCTATAGGCGTTTCGGATTAGACTTGCTATACGTATTCTAAATAGCACTTGCTATAGGTACTTTAGATCGTCCTACTTGCTATAAGCGTTCTTAGTAGTACTTGGTATTAGCGTTCCGGATAGTCTTACTCTACGCGTTTCGGATAAGACTTAGTATAGGCATTTCGGATTAGAATTGCTATATAGCGCGTTTTAAATAGACCTTTGTGTTCTAAATAGTACTTAGTATTATAGGCGTTCTAAATTAGACTTTTTATAGGCGTTATAGATAATAGTTAGCTTATCCTACGCCTTCCGGATAGTGCTACTCGCTATAGATATTCTATAGAGTACTCGCTATAGGCGTTTTGTAGGGTACTCGTAGTAGGCGTTATATAAGGTACTCGCTATAAATAGTTCGAATACTATTAAACTATAGGCGTTTTAGATAGTATTTGCTATAGGCATTCCGGATAGTACTACTCGCTATAGATATCTTAGACGGTTGCCGCTATAAGCGTTTCGAATATTACTACTCGCTATAATCGGGTTTAGTAGTATTTACTATAAGCGTTTCGGACATAACTTGCTATAAGTATTCTAAATAGTACTTACTATAGGTAATTTAATAGTACTACTTGCTATAAGCGTTCTTAATAGTACTTGCTATTAGCGCTCCGGATTGGACTTGCTATACGCAATCCGGATAGTACTACTCGCTATAAGCCTTCCGGATAGTACTTAATATAAGTATTTAGTTTCGGATTAGACTTAGATAGTTAGACTTGCTCTATACATTTCAGATAAGACTTTCTATAAGCGTTTCGGATTAGACTTGCTATACGCGTACCGGTTTATATAGAACTAACTATACTAAGCGTTTAAAATGAGGCCTGTCCTACGCGTTCCGGATAGTACTACTGCTATAGATATACCGTATTATATAGAGTGCTCGCTATAGGCGTTTTATAAGGTACTCGTAGTAGGTGCTATATAGGCTACTCGCTCTAAGTAGTTCGAATGCTGTTTGCTATAGGCGTTTTAGATAGTATTTGCTATAGGCGTTCCGGATAGTACTACTCGCTATAGGCCTTCCGGGTAGTACTTAGTATAAGTACTTAGTCTTAGATTGGACTTAGACTTACTTTATATATTCCGGACAAGACTTTCTGTAGGCGTTTCGGATTAGATTATTAGACTTGCTATACGCGTTCCGGTTTATATAGGACGAACTATACTAAGCGTTTAAAATAAGGCTTGTCCTACGCGTTCCGGATAGTACTACTCGCTATAGATATCTTAGATAGTTACCGCTATAGGCGTTTCGAGTATTACTACTCGCTATAGGCGTTTTTAGTAGTATTCGCTATAAGCGTTTCGGATATAACTTGCTCTAAGTATTATAAATAGTACTTACTATAGGTATTTTAGAAAGTACTACTTACTATAAGCGTTCGTAATAGTACTTACTATTACCGTTCTAAATTAGACCTACTATACGCGTTCCGGATAGTACTTACTCTACGCGTTCCGGATAAGACTTAGTATAAGCGTTTCGGATTAGAATTACTATATAGCGCGTTCTAAATAAAACTTAGTATAGGCGTTATAGATAGTAGTACTAACAGGTAGCGCTCCGGATTAGACTTACTATACGCCTTCTTAATAGTACTTAGTATTGTAAGCGTTCTAAATTAGACCTATTATAGGCGTTATAGATGATAGTTAGCTTATCCTACGCGTTCCGGATAGTACTACTCGCTATAGATATTCTATAGAGTACTCGTAGTAGGCGTTATATAGGCCCTATAGGGTATTCGCTATAAATAGTTCGAATGCTATTTAACTATAGGCGTTTTAGATAGTATTTGCTATAAGCGTTCCGGATAGTACTACTCGCTATAGGCCTTCCGGATAGTGCTTAGTATAAGTATTTAGTTTCGGATTAGACTTAGTCTTACTTTATACATTCCGGATAAGACTTTCTATAAGCGTTTCGGATTAGACTTGCGTATAGTATACGCCTTCCGGTTTATATCGGACCAACTATACTAAGCGTTTAAAATTAGACCCCGCAGTGGTTCGGTTTCCGAACCACTAAACGTATATAGTTTGGTTTCTTAGCGGCGAACTAGCTCCCTAGTTCCGGTTTGGTTTTTTCGAACTATATAGATTCCTAGTTTGAACTAGAGACTGTATTGGTTTTACTACAAGGACACTCTTATTCGACTGCCGGCTACGATTGCCGGCCATAATAGTAACTCTGTTACATTTACTACGCTCTTTTGCCGTTGCTAGGGCGTAGTTGCCGTTGCTAGGGCGTAGTTTTGCTATAAGGACACTCTTATTCGACTGCCGGCCACGATTGCCGGCTATAATAGTTACTAGGTTGTATTTACTACGCTTTATTACCGTTGCTAGGGCGTGGTTGCCGTTGCTAGGGCGTAGTTGCCGTTGCTAGGGCGTAGTTGCTATTGCCGGGGCGTAGTTGCCGTAGTTGCGAAAGCTTACCTATATAACGTTACGTAGGCGGCAACAATTAGGGCTTCGCGACATTCTTACACTTTTAACTTCTTCCTCTATACCTATACCGATAACAACTACTATACGCTACGCCCCCGCCCCTTTCCCTTATAATAGTAAGAGAGAAGCGCGCCGCGCGCTAAATAGAAGATAGAACTAAAGACCGCGAGTTTGTTTTACCTAAGCGTCTAACTAAAAAGCGTAAGACTAAAGAGGAGTACTCTACGAAGAAGAATTCCGTACGAGACCGCGAGAGAAAGGACAAGATAGATAAGGATAAAAGAGCTAAGGATAAGAGAAGAAAGGCGCGGAATAAGGCATTCTATCGATAGCTAGCGCCTATAGAAAAAAGTGAAGGTTGGAATAAGAAGACAACCTAAGAGAAGGCTAAGAGGAGGAAAGAATTGCGGCTAGTTTTCGAGCGTAAAGTTCTAGTAGCGTAAGTCAATCTAGCTAGCGGCCGTAGCTAGCAGCTATAGCCGGCAGCCGTAGCCGGTAGCTGTAGCCGGTATATTTTTCTTTAACACGTTAACTAATAGCATTTAGACCTATAGTCGCTATCTCTATCGATACGACCGATAGTAACGGAGATATTTAGATAGCCGAGAACAACAATACTAGAGTTTAGGATGCCGCGATAGAGCTTAATACTACGAATAAAGGAACTAAAAAAAGCGAGGAGATACTATACGTCGATCTAGTAACAGGTGCAGTCTTAGGGCCTAACGCTATAGACGATAAGCGCTAGGAGTAGATCGAGCATAGTCAAAGAGACGAGATACTAGTAAAGGGCTAAGGCATAAGTCCTATTAATCTAGAAAATCATAGTTAAAGCTACTACGAAAAGCTAGCAAGGATTGGAATCGAGACTAGTCGTCTTTATATCCTCGATATAGAGTAGAAGTTTCTTTATTAGTATTAGAGCGAAGCCTTTACGTCTATAAAGGCAAAGTGGCTTGCGATTAATACGATCGGGGCTAGGTATCTAGAGACGGTAGAAGTATTACTATAGGAGGAAGGGGTACAGGTAATTATTCTATACTCGGCATATATAGCCGGCGTTCGTAGCCGGCAGATACTAACAGTTAAACAGAAAGCGTTTCTCGAAGGCAGAGTGCTACTGCTATATAAAATCTTTACTAAGGCAGAGAGGGCTTGTATCCGGAATCTAAGCTACTAGTAGGATAGGTTGGCGTTAGAATTCTCTAAATCTCTATATAAGCCTCCGAAGGATTACCTATTTTAGCGATACGGCTTTATCTCGACTACTCCGTAGGTACCCGAAGAAGCTCGAGCGCTCTTTAAGGTCTTTACTAAGAAGCGGAAGGAGTTCGAGGATTAGGATTGGTTAATAGAGCTATTAGTTAGTCTTAGGTTTCGTAGTTAGACTCGGCCTAAGCATTTGCTTATCGAGTATCTTATACCGAAAGAGGATAGATTAAGACTAAAAACGAGCTTAGATTCGTTAGGTATAGTAGCTCGGTTCCGTTAGTAGGAGAGAGCCGCCGTATAGAAGGCAAAATTCAGGTAGTTAGGGTAGCTAGGAAAGAAATTCTAGTAGTTAGGCTAGCTAGGGTAGCTAGGAAAAAAAATCTAGTAGTTAGGTAGCTAAGAAACAAAAAAAGAAGGTAGCTAGCTATTTACTACCTAGCTATTCCTAACGATACGATACTATAAAAGAAAGGGTGTTTCTCTATAGCTACTAGTATATATCTACTACTCCTAAGTCCTTACCTTACCGTACGAAACCTTAAAACATGCCGACCGACATTGTATATACACTAGGCGCTATACTAGGAAGGGTAATAACGAGACGACAGTCGAAACAGTCTAGTATACGAGCGAGATTGCGACAACGTCGAGAGGAGGTCGTATACTTACCTTCGAGCCTATCGAGTCCTAGACGACGATTAAGGCTAGATTCATCCTCTCCGAATCCTAGTAGTAGGAATTCATTATAGGGTACTACTACCTAGTCCTTACCTTTACGGAGTCTAAGTAGAAGGTTGTTCGGAGATATAAGAACATCGAGTATTAACCCGGAAATCTTCGAAAAGGCTAGCTAGGCGTATCTTTAGAAACCCGAGTATATAGAGTAGTTTAATTAATAGGTCTATAAGATATAGTTCCCTTTATACTTACGTTCGAAGGAGTGTAAACTCCGGAAGTACTCGATGCGATAGGGGAGTAAGGAGCGAACGGATATATTCTAGAAGTTCTTTATAGAGGGGGCATTGTACCGTTATACGACTTCTCGACTTAAAGGTTAACTAGTAATTGTCTATAACTTCTACGGTTCAATCTTAAAATACCCGAAACTAGGGGATAGGAACTTATCGCCTACGAACTATCTCTATTCTAAACGGTATCGGGAATCTTAAGGAGAGAGGAGAGTTAATATAGATATAGCGTTCTAGAAAGAGGTATATCTTCTAAAATGCCGGCTATAGCTGCCGGCTATAGCTACCGGCTATAGATTCCGGCTACCTAAATCAACCGTAGAGATCTAGCTAATTATTATAGGCTACGCTTAAGGAAGCTCTAGGATTGAAGGCTACCGATTTCTCCCCCGAAGACTTTAAGCAACTAGCAAACGAAATGCTAGCTATAAACGGTCTTCCGGAAGACTTCTACGAAAGGGAGTCTATATAGAAGACATACCTATATCTTATAAACTACCCTCCCCTATTTCTCGGCGCGACAACCTAGCGTATTATATTCGAAAAGAACAAAGAGGCTACGTTAGACGACATTCGGGAGATCCTCCGTAATACTCGCCGAGTAGCTATTGCTATCGATAGCTAGTTAAGCCGGACTATAAGAGCCTCCTTCCTCTCGATTATGCTATACTTTATTAATTCGGATTAGAAACTCTAGGAACTTATAATCGGATTCCCTGAAATTCTAGGTTCCTATACTAGTAAGGATATAGCGAAGCTTATCTATACGGTAATAGATAGGGTTAGCGTAATAACGAAACTAATCTCGATTACTACGGACAACGCTAGTAATAATCGAACATTGTATAAGGCGTTGTATATACAATTCACTCGTATATGTCTTTAAAATTACTAATTGTATCGATAGGGTCGAGTGCGTAGAGGAGATTACAAGGTCTACAATCTAGCTTAATCTTCCGAATATTAAGCTCGCTACGATTCCGGATACGCACGACAATACGCACGATAATAACGATGAAGAGGAGCCTATTAATAGCCCTAGCCCTATTAAATCGGAGCCGACGTCGTTGCTAGTTATATCCCTATAGAAGTTTCCCTACCTCGCTTATATAGTTCAAATCGCGATCCGAGCCCTCTTTAAGACGCTTAAAATTGCACTATTAAACGACGACTAATAGAAGATCCTAGATAAGGATAAAGCAAAGTCGAAAGTCGAGAAACTTATTATAGTAATAAGACGGGATAAGGCAGAGAGCCTCGCTCTCGTTTTATATAAGGTATAACTTTTGTCCGTAGCCGGTACCTATAGCCGGCAACCTAGTATAGTTCTAACTCTTTTTCTCTAGCTTCGTCGTCTAGCAATATATACGAACTCGAGCTTATAGAGATATAACCGATTCGAGGCTATTTAAAAGAACCTAATCGAGCGCCCTAAAACCGATACCTAGAATATCGCATAGAATAAGCGATAGCAAAAGCGGCCTCCTTAGCGCCTACTCCGTTTTACCTAAGACGTTAAGACTCGGTTCGATTCGACTTTCTATATAGTTACGAGGGGATATACTTTACGTACCGCTCTCGAGATCTATTAGAGTTCCGAGGGTATTAAGTAGCTCGGCCTTACCGCCGCCGAATAGCGCTAAGCAGAGTATCTCGTCGATATTGGTAAGCATTACGCGAAGGTTACTACTACGATTAGAAGAACCCGAGGACCGACGATCTACCTTATCTTTACGTACTATAACTAGCTCTTTAACGAGCTCGAGGAAACCGTAGCTAAGCTAGCTAAGAAGAGCGTTCCCTAGAAAGTAGCTATAACGAAAGCTATAGACACCTCCTATACTAAGTTATATAAATATTACAGTACTACCTTTAACTCGTTCGGGGATATCTATAGCGTTGCGTACTTGCTCAACCCGGTAGAAAAGGATATATACTAGCAGAGGCCGGAATAGAAGGCGGACGAGGTATAGCCGAAGCATTACTAGACTATTCTAGAAAAGATATTCTACGAGCGTCGGAAAGAAACTAGTCTAAATGCAGCTCCTACAAAGAAAAAGAAGGTTTAGAAGGCTCCGATATTATACCTATTTCGTAGGTAGGAAGTAGAGGCAGAAGAGGAAGCAACTACTAAAGTAAATAAGGAAGAGTTCGATCTCTATCGGCGCGCGAGTAAGTACAAACCCGTAGGCTCGGAAAGAGGGCTAATAATCTCTAGATCTTACCGGTCTTCTAGACGAATTCGGAGACGATATTCTCGCTATATAGCAGCGGTTAGAGCCTAAGTTTCTAACGATAGCGTCGGTCGCTCGGGACGTCCTCGCTATCCCGAGCGTAGGTATAGGCTATAAGAGGTCTTTTAGTATCGCTCGTTACTAGGGCCGCTTTAATCGAATATACTCGCCTACTACCTTCGAATCTATTATAGTATTCCGATACTATCTCCTCTACTAGAATCGCTAAGGTAGGTTACTAAAGATTATACTAAAGGAGTTAATCGAGGAATTAGAAAACCTTAAGATCGAAGAAACCTAGGAGCGCGAAGAGAATACGAAATTTAGTCTAAGCGAAACCCTAATTAGCGATAACGAAGAGGAGGAGGGCGGAGGTAGAAGGCGATACCGGGTCGAGAAGCGGAAACGTATATAGGCTTAGAGTAGCTTTAAGGAGACGAAGCGTTTACGTATAAGGTAATATAGCCGGCGTATATAGCCGGCATATATCCGAAATGTGTTTCGAATTCCTAGGACCTAAACAGACTAGTTGCTATAGCAACCGACCCCGCTTACCTGCGGACTATTTCTAATTCTCTATTCGCTCTTCCTCTCCTTCTTCCCTTTCCCTATATTCTTAAAGACAAATATACCTTAAGGATTCGGCTCTTCGGGCCTTCCTAAGCCGGCTGCCTCCCCTTCCTTAAGCTACTATCCTTTATTCGAATCTAACGATAACCTAATAAGGCGGTTTAATAGAAGACTATTTGTTCTAGAAGGTAAGAAGCATTAATGTCTCCCTACGATTATATACTTATTAATTTTCTAGGTCCTACCGATATGCCCTCGTCGCCTAAACGCGTAGATAAATATCTTTAGAGGCTAAAGGGTAAGGGTAAAGTAAGCCAAGTATAGGGAGACCGTAGCGAGAACGAGATATCGGAAGAGCAAGGCTCTCCGTAGTATATACGAAGGAAGGGGGTTCCTCGGAAAACAGTACCGAAAAACAAGAAGGCTATAGGTAGACAGGAGAAGGCTAAAAAGAGTAGGCGGACGAAGACTATCGCGAAGAAAAGTTATCTTTCTATTAAAAGAAAGGGAATAAGGCAGGACTCGACGATAAAGAAGCGGCGCTTCAAACTAGGTACTATTACCCTTCGCTAGATCCGGCTTTTCTAAAACAAAAGAGGGACCGAGCTTTTAATCCCTAAGACTCCCTTCTAGCGACTCGTCCGAGAAATTACATTAGATTTTCGGTCTAGTATGCGATTTACGGCTAAGGCGATTAGTGCTCTTTAGGAAGCTACGGAGGCATTTCTCGTAACCGAGCTTAAGCTTTTAAACCTCCTTGCTATCTATACGAAGCGGGTTACTCTTCAAAATAAAGATATGCAGCTTCTAGCTAAAATTCGGCGTCGGTTTACAGCGGATTAGTTAGAAATTGTATTTAGTCGTTAGATTAACCTAGGAGGAGGCCTATTTTCGCATCCTTTTACCGGCTATAGGTACCGGCTACATTTCTAATTTTATCTCCGCGCCGTCCCTAAATCTAAGGTACGAAGTAGAAACCTAGCGCTCTATATTCACCCGGCTCTTATAGAGACGAGCTACATTTAGATTAGTTTCTTCGCATATCGCGACCTAGCGGGTAGTAAGCGAAAGGGCGATAGAACGTTTATAATACGTCTCTATTCAGACCTAAAATACAAAGGTCCTAAGGAGCCCTAGCATCCTAACTATAAGGAGATTCTTTAGTATTAGCACTTTGATCCTCTATACTACGAGGTAGATAGCAAGCCTACGAGAGAGAAACTTTAACGAGAAATTCTCTATAATGCGTAGCGCTATTGTATAGCTATAGATACGCACTAAGTCCGGCAACTCGAAGAAGAATTAAGATAGCGTATTAGCGACCGAGGAGGAGATCGATAGTATACTAGTAGAGTCGAGGTCTTATAAGCGAAGCATAAGATAATATAGGCTCTTAGTCGTATAGAGTAACGTACTATATAAATAACTAGGCGTGCTACTCTTATTCACTTACGACCTATATCCTAGGATGCTCTTATCGTACTTTTTATACTCTTTTCTAATACCTTACCTATAATCGCTCCGCGATAACCGAGTGAATATAAGCTATAGGATTTCCGCTCGGTACCTTAGCCTTCGAGATACGGCGGAGTTGATTCTCTATAATACGTAGCGCTATTGCATAGCTATAGATACGCACTAAGTCTAGCAACTCGAAGAAGATTTAAGACAGCGACCGAGCAGGAGAATAATAGTATATTAGTAGAGTCGAGGTCTTATAAGCGAAGCACGAGATAATATAGGCTCTTAGTCGTATAGAGTAACGTACTATATAAATAACTAGGCGTGCTACTCTTATTCACTTACGACCTATATCCTAGGATACTCTTCTCGTACTTTTTATACTCTTTTCTAATACCTCACCTGTAAGCGCTCCGCGACAACCGAGTAAATATAAGCTGTAGGGTTTCCGCTCGGTACCTTAGCCTCCGAGATAGGGCGGAGTTGAATTTAGAGCGATAGCCGGCACTCGTAGCCGGCACTCGTAGCCGGCATATAGAGACGGTAGTAGGCCTTTTCCTGCTAAATGACTAGCTTGTTTAGTATAGCCTACCTAATATTTCTTATATTTACTAGCAATAGGCCTAGGTTACTTATAAGATTACTATAGCTAGTAAAGGCATTACTAAAGAATATCTATACTATAGTAGGATACTATTATCACGCCGGCTATTCATTAAAAGGAGGCTTTCGCCTATTACTATGCCGGCTACATATACCGGCTATATTTCAAAGTCTGCCGTACCTGCCTTTTTTAGCCGTGCCTGCCTTTTTTAGCCGTGCCTGCCTTTTTTAGCCGTGCCTGCCTTCTTTCCTTGCTCTAACGTCACTATAATGTAGGCTTGCGCGAAGCTTACTCTATTGCCTAGCGACACCGCGACACTACCGCTATATTTAACCTTCGCATCGATACCTATACCTCTACGCTCTATATCTACTACCTCCGTAACACCCTCGCTCCGCGCGCGCCTTCGTATACCTTCGCAACGCACTTTTTTCCTTAATTCGACGACTTTTATAATAGCGAGTCTACTTAACTAAGTTACGACGCCTCGCAAGAAGGGACCTACTACTTCTACGGGTCGTAACAAGATCGGAAATAGTAGAACGAGTACAGTACATCAACGTAAGATAGCTGCTGCTACTACTACTAGCTCCGGTACTAGAAAGGGCGTCGCGAGCAAGGCTCCGCGTAAGACAACGGCGGGCAAGGCTCCGCGTAAGACAACGGCGGGCAAGGCTCTACGCAAGACGACAACTAGCGCTTCTGCTGCTAGTAGTAATCGTGCGAAGCGTCGATAGCGCCTAGGAAGTAAGTCCTATTTGTAGCCGGCAGCGTAGCCGGCAGCGTAGCCGGCAGCGTAGCCGGCATTCTTACTATCTTTTTACTAATCCTTCTTTAGCCGTAGCCCTCCGTAAGATTCGGCAGTATTAGAAGAGTTCTTAGCTCCTAATCCGTAAAACTCCTTTCTAACGACTTGTTCGCGAAATTGCCTAGGATTATAGAACGGACCTTCGCTTCTAAGCCTCCGCGATAGGCGCCCTTTAAGAGGCTGCAGAAGCCTACCTAGTTCGTATCTTCGAATGTATGTTTCTCTTCTACCTCTTTTCGGACTATGCTAATACTATTTTAGCGGTCAACCTTATAGCTATCTACGCGAAGCGTATAACGATTATAGACAAGGATTTTAAAGCACTCGATCAGATTCTAAAAGGCTAGAATGTCTACATTCGAGACGGTACTAGGTAGGATAGATGTTCTAGTAGAAAGGATATTCGTAGTATTATCTGCAAGCTTTTCTATATACGAAATAAGCCGCTGTTATACGGCGCTGTATACCGCGCTCTAAATACTCTCTAAGTATATATATATAGTATAGTATACTTTATTAGCCGTACGGAATAGAAGTCTCCCAAAATCCCGTTAGTACTAAGGAGTAAAAAGGCCGGCTACGCTGCCGGCCACGCTGCCGGCTACGCTACTAGCTACGCTACTAGGTTTTTTAAAGAACTAAAAGAAGATAGACATTCCGGTTGATTTGTATTAGTTTAGATTTTTATAAAAAGAAAACAGGGAAAAATAAGGAAGGTTGAAGAGCCTAATAGTTATAGTTATAGGCACTATCCCTGTTTTCTAGAGCATATTATATACCTGCCTTCGCAACTCTACCTAATACTCCCTCTAAATATCCTTATACTCTACCTACTGAAAATTCAACTAGGTACCTAGACCTATAGCTACCTCTATATCTTTTACTATCTTCTACAGGTTGAAGGCCTCTTCTATAGCAGCCTCTACCTCCTTATGCAATACGAAGTTACTACCTGCCCTACCCTTTATATCTCCTAAATGACTAAGAGTTCTAAGGAACGAACTAGCATTCGGCCTTAGTATAGCGAGTGACTAGTAGAACGTTCTATAGAGCTGCCTTATAGCTCTTTTATATACTATACCGATACCGAGGGAGGAGCTATCCTAGTACTTAATATTATCGAATAGTTCGGTAGGAAAGTGTATAAACTTCTTAAGGAGGAGGACTTCTAGGGAAATCGATAAGTTCTGCCTAGATCTAGATAAAGACATTCTGCTAAGCAGTTAGGGAATTGAACCGTAAACGAAAGGATGAAATTCATACCTAAGGAGTGCAGTTTCCGAACTGAACTATAATGCCTTGTGTATATATATATATACTTTTGATTAGTTAGTACCCTTAGCTGATTGTCTATGGATTTGAGGTTATATAAGTACCTTTATACAACTACGTAGCCTAAGTAGGATTCGAAAATTCTATAAGTACTAAGGACTAAAAATGCCGGCTACGCTGCCGGCCACACTGCTGAGTCTTACAAAGGGCTTGCTTAAAGCTACGTATACATTCGTACACTTCTTAAAAACCGATAAATTATATAGTTCGAACTAGCTACTTATATAGTTGCTTAGCAAACCAACCTAAACCAAACTAGAGTTTCGGCTTGGCAAACCAAACCAAACCAACCCGAACCACTGCGGGGTCTATTTAAAATAAGGCTTGTCCTACGCGTTCTATATAGTACTACTCGCTATAGGTATTCTATAGAGTACTCGCTATAGGCGTCTTTAGTAGTATTTTCTATAGGTGTTTCGGATATAACTTGCTATAGGTATTCTAAATAGCACTTACTATAGGTATTTTAGATAGTCCTGCTTGCTATAGGCGTTCTTAGTAGTACCTGCTATTAGCGTTCCGAATTAGACTTACTATACGCGTTCCGGATAGTATCTACTCTACGCGTTTCGGATAAGACTTAGTATAGGCGTTTCGGATTAGAATTGCTATATAGCGCGTTCTAAATAGAACTTGGTATAAGCGTTATAGATAATAGTACTAACTATTAGCGCTCTAGATTAGACTTGCTATACGCGTTGCGAATAGTACTTACTAAGTTACTATTATAAACGTTCTAAATCAGACTTTCTATAGGCGTTATAGATAGTAGTTAGCTTGTCCTACGCGTTCCGGTCCCCGGATAGTACTACTCGCTATAGGTATTCTATAGAGTACTCGCTATAGGCGCTTTATAAGGTACTTGTAGTAGGCGTTATATAAGGTACTCGCTATAAGTAGTTCGAATACTATTTAGTAACTATAGGCGTTTTAGATAGTATCTACTATAAGCGTTCCGGAAAGTACTACTCGCTAAAGATATCTCGGATAATTATCGCTATAAGCGTTTCGAATATTACTACTCGCTATAAGCGTTTTTAGCAGTATTTGCTATAGGCGTTTCGGGCGTTTTGGATTAGACTTACTATAGGTGTTCTAAATAGCACTTGCTATAGGTATTTTAGATAGTACTACTTGCTTTAAGCGTTCTTAGTAGTACTTACTATTAGCGTTCCGAATTAGACTTGCTATATACGTTCCGGATAGTACTTACTCTACGCGTTCCGGATAAGACTTAGTATAAGCGTTTCGGATTAGAATTGCTATATAGCGCGTTCTAAATAGAACTTAGTATAGGCGTTTTAGATAGTAGTGCTAACTGTTAGCGCTCTGGATTAGACTTACTATACGCGTTCCGAATAGTACTTACTATTATAAGTGCTCTAAGTTAGCCTTACTATAGGCGTTGTTAGTAACAGTTAGCTTATTCTACGCGTTCCGGATAGTACTGCTCGCTATAGATGTTCTATAGAGTACTCGCTATAGGCGTTCTATAGGGTACTTAGAGTAGGCGTTATATAGGGTACTCGCTATAGATAGTTCGAATGCTGTTTAACTATAGGCGTTTTAGATAGTACTTACTATAAGCGTTCCGGATAGTGCTGCTCGCTATAGTCTTAGCCTATAGGCCTTCCGGATAGTGCTTAATATAAGTATTTAGTTTCGGATTAGACTTAGACTTAATTTATACATTCCGGATAAGACTTTCTATAAGCGTTTTAGATTAGACTTAGTATACGCGTTCCGGTTTATATAGGACTAACTATACTAAGCGTTTAAAATAAGGCTTGTCCTATCGACTCCTACGCGTTCCGTATAGTACTACTCGCTATAGGTGTTCTATAGAGTGCTCGCTATAGGCGTTTTATAAGGTACTCGTAGTAGGCGTTATATAGGGTATCCGCTAAAAGTAGTTCTAATGCTATTTACTATAGCCTATAGGCGTTTTAGATAGTATTTGCTATAGGCGTTCCGGATAGTGCTACTCGCTATAGATATCTCGGATAGTTACCGCTATAAGCGTTTCGAATAATACTACTCGCTATAAGCGTTTTTAGTAGCATTTACTATAGGCGTTTCAGATATAACTTGCTATAAGTATTCTAAATAGTACTTACTATAGGTATTTTAGAAAGTACTACTTGCTATAGGCGTTCTTAGTAGTACTTACTATTAGCGTTCCGAATTAGACCTACTATACGCGTTCCGGATAGTACTTACTATACGCGTTCCGGATAAGACTTAGTATAAGCGTTTCGGATTAGAATTACTATATAGCGCGTTCTAAATAAAACTTAGTATAGGCGTTATAGATAGTAGTACTAACTATTAGCGCTCCGGATTAGACTTACTATACGCGTTCCGAATAGTACTTAGTATTATAAGCGTTCTAAATAAGAATTCCTATAGTCGTTTTAGATTAGACTTAGTATCCGCCTTATAGGTAGTACTTACTATACGCCTTATAGGTAGTACTTACTATAAGCGTTCTAACTCGGAAAGAACTACTTACTATAGATATTTCGAATAGTACTCGCTATAGGTATTCCGGATAGTAATTACTATAGGCATATTCCGGAAGTAGTTACTATAGATATTTAAGACTATCTTGCTATAAGCGTTCCTAATAGTGCTCGCTATAAGCGTTTCTAAATAGTGCTTTCTAATATCTATAACGCGTTCCGGATTAATATTACTTTTTAGTATTAGCGTTTTAGATATAACTTACTATACGCGTTTTAGATTAGGCCTACTATAGGCGTCTAGATAAGACTTTAGCTACTCGTCGCCTTAGGCTTCTCATGTGGCTCTTCGAGCCACATAAGCCCTAGTGTAGAGTGATTGGACTTGTCGTAACTCGCTCGCTTGCCCCATCGCCTCCCCAAATCTGTCTGTGCGTCTCGGAGCATAGCACACGCTGAATCACAAGGGGCGCCTTTGCATCCAGCCGTGCTGTTCGCAGCAGCTATGTCTTAGGACGCCTTGACATGCTTGCTCGCAACGTGTGATGAGCCCTGTCTCTTCAAACATCAATCTGTCTGGCGTGCGCAAAGCATCACAGGAACTACCTCATTAAGGGAAAAGAACCCGATCTTGAGAATCCCAAAGTGTTCGTGGATCTCGAATCCAGCTCATTTGCGATGCCGTACTGATCATGAAAACAGCTACTACAACAATCCCACAGCAGGCTCCCTTTGAGCAGCACGCATACTATCCCCAGGCCGACGACGAGCAGATCAAGCCCTGCTCAACGCCGCTACCATCCAACAACAACGACTCTGCGCAAGCCTGGCTGTGGCCGATCTCATCGCCTGTTCCCTGCTCCTCGTTTCCCATTTGTGCAAGGACTAATCACCCTGGCCCGACTGTGAGCGAGTCACTCCAACCGGCCCACGCCCATTTGTGCACCGCGCTGAGCAATTATGGCCGCGACTGATCTCATTGCTTGTTTCCTGCTCTTCCTTTCCCATTTGTTCAAGGACTGATCACCCTTGCCCGAAAGTGAGCGAGTGTAGAGAGGGTAGTCAGATGAGCATACCACTCCAACCGGCCTACGCCCATTTGTGCACCGCGCTAAGCCATAATGACTGTGACTGATCTCATTGCTTGTTCCCTGCTACTCCAACTGGCCCACACCACTCCCATCTGTCTATCGCGCCGAGCAAAAGCCTGATTGTCGTATGGAAGGTCGGTGAGGAGCTTGCCCTGTCTGCTTGCTATCTCCACCGGGTACGCGGGGACAGGGAAGGTGGGTACCGTGAGGAGGGAGACGAGGAGGGAGATGTGGAGGAGCGTAGAAGGCCGGCGAAGAGCTTGATCTGCCCACTTGCCACCTCCGCTGGGCGCACAGGCGTGACGGAAGTGAATGCCGGGAGGAGCGCGACTCAGAGGAGCATAGAAGGTAGCGGTGGAGAATCATGTCCATGCTGGTTACCTAAGGCCAAGCCATGAGGCACGCATCCTGTCTTCAGGGCTCCGCTGAGTCTGGCCAGCTCAGTGATTTCCGAGGGCTGGGTTTTGGTGCTTGTACTTGTTCTAGGATTATGCGTGGGAGGCGTATCTGGTAGATGTGCAATGTGGAAAGGCGGCAGTTGTTATTGGCAATTTATAATAATATTGCGGATGGATAATAACTGTGGATTTATGTTCGTTAATTGATTAGTTCTCCTTTAACCTCTCATTCGCTCCTCCTTTACCCGTCCCCCGAACTTCCTGTCCTCAATCCCCAAACTCTTGGCGGCCGCCATCGAACCCATCAACCAACTAGCACATGTCACTAAACCCATTACCCTTCCCCTCCCTTCTCTCTCCTTCCCAATCTCAGACTCCACCCCCGTTCCCCTAGGGCTACCAATCCACACCACGCCCTAGCAATTTCGCAGTTTTCCGAAAGCTGAGCCCCCGAACAAATCTGGTCGCTTCACAAAGGATCTGCAGTCCGTTGTGAGGATAGCCTTTGTTCAATTTTTTGTGGGCGCGCAAGCGAGTAGGGTTGCTTTGCTGGGTTGTGTGGGTAGTTTGGATAGTTTTGTGGGTGTGGGAGGTTGGGTTTGGTTTTCGCTTTCTGGTTTTTCGGGGTTGGGTTTGGATTTGGGTGGATGCTTTGCTTTGCGTTTTCAGTGTATGAGTATTGGGTGGCTCGCGTTTTCGTTGCTTTGCTTTGGTTTGTATCATTTTGGGCGGGCGAGTTTGGTTTTGCTTTTGGTGTCCGGCTTGAGCTCAAAACTGTACCATACTGGGTGGGTTGCGTTTGCGTTGACTTGATTTGGGCTGTATCATATTGGGCGGGCGAGTTTGGCTCTCCCTCGGTGTTCGGCTTGAGCTCAACACTGTACTGTACCATACTGGGTGGTCGGTGTTGCTTTCTGTGTTTTGGGCAAGGGCTGTATCACGGCACACGATGTTTCTCTCTGTCTCTTCTCGAGTATATCGTGACGCTCTTGTCCGCTCAAGCGAGTCCCAACTTGGTGATATGTGTGATGAGAGCGCCAAGGTCTGGCTTACTTTGGGGTTTGGGGGAAAGAGCATACGGTAGGTAAAACGTTGATGGATGACGCCGCAGAGTCTGATGGCATTGCTATAGCCTATCTCAATCGCAGAGTCCGACATCGTGAATGGATTGTGCATTATCAACTCCTCTCAGCGTACAGCTTCTGGGTATACAAGTTTCTCTCCTCTTTCAAGTGTAGTTGTTCTCTTTCCAACGCTCTCCGACTCTCCGCCTGCACAGTCTCAGACGTTACCCACAGAACGGATCTCCACCTTAAGTTCACTGTGTGAGAAGGGGGAGGGCGCACGGTGCGATGGCGATACGGATTGCGAGCGGCGGGCTGGTGGCTGATGGCTGGCGCTGTTGATCGTCTGCTTTGCTTGCTCTGACGCTGGGATGCGGTATCTCCGCGAGTACAATGGTGTGCTGTACTGGTGATGATCGCTCGCAGCTCGGATCGGCTTCACTGAACTCATGCAGATCGTGCCTACATGTCGTTCCAGCTGTTCGACGGGCTGGAGGCTGGCGCTGTGAATGGCGTGCTTTGCTTGCTCTGGCGCTGAGGTGCGGTGGGCAATGCTGTGCTGCGCTTGTGATGACCGCTCACGGCTGGGATCGGCTTGGCGGCGACCGCATACAGATCGTGCCTACACATCGCTTGAAGGTCTAGCTGTCCGTGTCCGCAGCGAACCGAGATAGTGCTGCCTCGATGATGCGATTCACGCCAACAGCCAGCAGGAATTCCGGTCGGCAGCGGGTAACGGATCGGATCGTCCCTTGAACTCGAGCTTCAAGGGTTTCCGGCAGCTGTTCGAGTGTCTTCTCGGCTTTGGCAAGACAGCCACTCACACCAGGTGTCCAATGCTGTCCCCACGGACCCATGCATAGCATCACCTCCGCTGCAATGCTCGCCGCCCATAACATCCTTTCCCCAAGATCACTGTGCCACGCCCATAGAATCCACAAAAACTCGGTACCGCGGGATCAAGGCGAGGCTCCAACGAAAGGGAGAGGAGGCGCGGCAAGGAGATGAAGGCGCAAGCGAGGGACATTGCCGAGTTTGAAAAGGCACGCGAGAAAGAGCAGCAGATGGCTGCCAAGCGACACACACCGAGGAGAAGTCTATGGCTGAAAGGGTAGCCAAACCAGAAGGGCATCCGGCTACGGCAAAAGCTGCTGCTGCTCGGCCTGATCGCCATGCGACTTCTCACCATAACAAGGTGACCGAGAGAGCAAGGAAATCCTTCGAAGCACAGGCTGAAGCGCGGAACAGCATACGTACATCGGGCTCGAGAGCAGAAGCAGAGTCAACCGAGACCAGCAGGAGGAGGCAGTGATGGACAAGTAAGCGATACGAGACAGACAATCGATGTCAGTCAGGCTGTGAGTGCGAACAAGGAGGAGACTCGCGTCTTTTCTGCGCATGCGGCAGCAGTCTGCGAGGCGAAGTATGCTTTTGGTAAGAGATGGGAGACGAGCGAAGAACGTCGTTCGAAATCCAAAGTGGGCGGTCATGGTCCTGCCCGAGTATGTGATGAGCATAGCAAAAGGATAACAAGGACAAAGGAGAACTGCTGCACCAAGGACGGGAAGGGATGAAGCCCAGCCTACCAGGACTTGGACAGCTCGCATTCTTGCGTGAAACAATGCTCAAATCTACTTTCTTGGGACAGACCGGTAGCGGAAGCAACGGAATCCTTCTCGCAGGCTGCAATGCTGCAAAGCGCCTTCATGACATACTTGTCGTCATCGTAAAAGCAAATCTCATACTCGAGATGAGGTGCAAGAAAGCGCCGCACTGCTGCAAGGCTTGCCTTCGGACGTTCCAGGACTGACAAGTCAGCGATGGAAAGGCTCGCTGGCATAGCAAGGATCAGTGGAGAGACCGCGTTTTGGGTTGGCATTTTCACTCTAACTGTAAGTACCGTTTCATGGACACTTCCCGCCCTGGACTAATATACTGGCCGTCATGGAGCAGCCCTCCTGCCATCACGACCACACATATGCAATCAATGGCTTGGAAAGCGGATTCACCTCTGACAGAACCTGCATCAAATTCCGCCAATACAGTCCTGCCTCCAATTTCGCCGCCGACGAAGCCTGGCTCAATGTAACCCACGCCATCGCAGCATCACCATCTCCTCCTATCATCGGAAACTCCTCTCCTTCCCCCAGTGCCGGCTCCGATGCCCAAGCCTTTCCGACAATACTTTCCTCGAGCCATATCTTAAAGCAGTCAGCGAATAGAGGAGCATCGTTGTAGTCCTCTTCATATAGCCGGCCCTGAGTCCAGATGAAGAAGTCGTACAATTTTCTTCCCGAGAAGTCCATCAAGAGATTGTCGTTTCTATTATCCGAGCAGAGATTCTGAATCACGGACATTGTGATACGCATTGCGAAGTGAGTGCGATGAATGTGATCGAGCTCAGCATTTCCATCTTCGGCTTTCGCCGCACTTGACTTGCGGAGCATTTCGAGTAACTCGAGGCATGGAGCAAGAATATTTTCAGTGTTGATCAAGATGGTCCCAGGCTCCCGCATTTCGCGCAGACCTGATGCTGTATGCCAGCGTCTCAACAAAGCTGTGTCGAGGTCCGCGAAGAATCTTCCTTTGATTTTCCAGTGATCATAAGCGAGGCGATCTTGTTCGTCAGGTGGTGGTACCTTCTCCAGGAATCGGCGAGAATTTGATGACGGGTGTCGCATTTTTGGGGTTCGTTCGAGTGAGGAACAGCGACGAAATCGCGGAAGAGAATGATGAGTTGATGAACAGGCCCGCCGATCATCGGTTTTTGTCGCAGTCACGAAGGCACGAGAAACAGCTTGCGACACACAGCCTCTACTGTCTCAGTACAGTAACAAAGCAAGTCAGACTACCAGCGAGGCCAGCAACACCGATTCACATTCCGTGTCTCCTTTGCACACCGTCTCACACAGAAACATGCAAAGTGAGACTTTCTAAGGCAGATACTCCTGACTCACAGCAGCCCGAATCAAGCCAACGCCTATTCACAACCAAGTATGTGTAAGAGAAGATCATCTCCAATCAATGCATGACCGATGACATTCTCTCTCATGGAATGCAGAAGAATGAGGAGCTTACTATGTGATCCTCCTCAAGCTGGCTTCGTTTGAGTACTCCATCGCCAAATTTGTTTCGCTCTGGAACTGGTTGCGAGACCTCATCATAAGAAACGCTCTATGTCTTGTATCGAACAGCTCGTGCTGCACCACGCTTCACCAGTGAACAACCTCAATAGCCAGCAGCGTTTCCTGTCGATACTGATTGCGTTGAAGATTGTCTTCTTGTCTCAACATTCCCTTTCTGCACTCGAAGCACCTACACACTCCCGCAACCATAGCTTTGAATCGGGACATTGAGATGAGCTGCGTCAGCGACACGCGGCGGAGTTCTGCACCATCCTTGGAATCCGATGCTGGTGGTTTTCATAACCGAGAGATCGCGGACCGCAAGAATCAGCTTCATCGCGACCAGCGTAGGCGCCAGCGCCAGGAAGAAGAAGCTGTGAAAAATGCTGCTGAGTCCCGCTGCTCCCGCTCTCGCCAGACACCCACCATTACTCGACGCGAGCATCCTGCCCAAGAAGAGAGTAGGGACGAGGATAAAGAAGAATCCGATGAGGATCACTTGGAGCCAGAAGTCCGAGAGCAAGTCGATCAGATGAGCGATGACCATGCCATGAAATCAAGCAAGAAGGCCATAGCGAGCTTGGCCCTGCTTACAACCCACGACATGACTATGCCTGAGAGGAAGAAGAGTGGGAGTCGGGTTGGGAGGATGATGAGGAGCCTCATCGGCGGTCGACATACAGTAAGAATGGCAAAGCACTAGGAGCTCGCGTACTTCTCCTATTTCTTCTCGTGCCCCTTCGCCCAGACTATGTCTTGTCGTTCCAAAGGCGAAGCAGCGACACGATGTCCCAGGCCACATCAGCCGTCTATTACGAACACTGCAAGGCGCCGCGACGATGGACCAGCGAGTGTCGCTCCTATGCTTCAAGAACAAGGCCTAAAATATCGCGCTCACGGCACGCTCTCGTCGAGCAGGAGGCAAAGGGCGCCGCGGATCCCAAAAGTCGTCCCGCTCTCTCGTCAGACCCCCAGGGATGGGGCCAGAAGTCACGAATGGATCTGGGGAAGCCACGCGCCGTCTCCGCGTGTCACGTCTACGAATTTCAACTCTTTACCCTTCTTACGGCTCGGCAAGCAACTCAAGCGCACTTTCGACCAACAGGAAACTGCACGAGACATCGGAATAACGATACCATACCCACGACCGAGCGTGCAAAGGTAGAAACCTGGCCCCCAGACCATCGAGCACATTAGAAATTCGCGGACCGCTTCACAATCCAAAGGTATTCCTGCTGATGATGCTATTCTGTCTGCTGCAAGGAACCGAAGAAGACCATGCATCGGAAGAAGAGAAAGACACGAGCGACCCAACATCAGAAGTGTGGGATGGTTCTGAAGCTTCTTGATGAGCAGCACTTCTCAATTACCTAGCTTGTTGCAAGGCATGTTGGTGATTTTGGTACCCACGAGTACGGCATCCGCTGCAAGCAGATTCTGAACAAGGGACTGCCTGCTGAAGGTCTTCTAAGCACTCGAGGATCGCGCAAAGAGCGGAGGGACTCATTGGCAGGAAGTTCATCGATGAGTACGACCCAGAGCATATTGCCGATCCTGCAGAAGGCGATACACCGAAGCTCGTAGCAATGGACCAATTGATCAAGACTCTCGATCCAGCCAGTACCTTCTTTTGCTCAATCTCGTTCCCACTCAAAGCTTCAGTGGCAACAAGATTGAAGCGAGACTCAAGGCCAAGGCTGCCACGAAAGCTGCTGCTGATAGAGACGATTCTGGAGACGAAGACGCCTAGGAGGACGCCATTACCACTAAGCATCATCGCATGCGGAAGCAAATCATGACCAGTACCCAGATTGTTGGGCACTCGATGGCATTGACGAAAGCGTCCTGGTTTGGCAAGCAGATCGCATCCTACCGGTACACCAGCGGTATTGAGGCTCGAGTTGTCCCCATCTCAGTGCCATGGGCATCTGTAGCTCATTCCACTCCAACCAGAGACTCGTGAAAAAGACAGCTCAAGCTCATCGCCGACAGCGCGTTGCTCACGCCAGCGGGTCATGATTTATGACAACCATCATCGATCAGTTAGTCGCCGCGGAACCTACGCTGTTGGCAGCAATACGAACCAGGAGAACTGGAGAACATCCAACATTTCAGTCCACCCGGAGCTGCCCGAGGGCGGTTCGACCGAAGATCTGTTGTGGAAGTTGAATGCTCGGCGAATCTTCCAGAACATCAGCCAGCATGGTCCAAAGAAGCTGCGTGCCTTGTATCATGTGGGTCGGGCTCTTAGCTTCGTCTTTTTGGCAGTCCAGGAGCTGTTCAAAAAGAAGGTAAGAGCCGGTGCGAAGTCGAAAATCAAAGCCAGCGCTCGGAAGTGCTAGATAAAGAGAGTATTGCTGGGCCCAGAATGAACGACGATACGATCGACGAATGAGACAGCACGGATGGTACGGGTGCTAGAGAGCGTACCCAAGGTGTTGGTGCCAATCGTAGCCCTCTGGATGCTGCAGTTACGAATGGAGAGACTGGAAATTCATTGAGATCGACGGGGATGGGGTGGAAGTGGTGGATTTCAATGGTTCACGACAGGGCGAAGGCGTGGGCGAAGGCCATAACCCTGCGATGATGAGTCCTGATGTGACAGTCCCTGTGATAATAAGCGGCGCTCTACCAGAGCCTCAGCCATATTCTATGAACTCTCAGAACACGCTCCCTCCTTCTCCCTCACCTTTGCTTTCTTTCCAAGCGACATCAACACCTCGCCGTGGCCAACAGCATTCACCGCTGTGCTGAGACGCTGCCGAGTTCGCTCTCTACGAGGAGATGGAAGATGCCTTGGGCTTCCAGAAACAAGATGAAGAAGTGTTCGCACTGGCGGCTCCGCAGGAGCAGCAGCAGCAGCAGGCCCATGAATTTCCGGACTCGGAGGAGGCTTCGGTCATTCAACTTCATTGTCCCGACCGTATATTGTCACTATGCAGTATGAACACCGACACCACGGCATCCGCGCCATCGCCGTCATCTTCACCATCGCCATCACCTGTTCATTATACTACCCTCCCACTAACCCCAAATTCAGCCGGCTGTCTGCGTGCCTACCACCGTCGGGTGATGATCGCCCACAATATGCAGAAAGCAGCAGCAGCACCACAACCACCACCATCACCGCCACCTCGCTCGCCATCGCCGCGTCTGCCGTGGAAGAAGGGATGTAAAGGTCGCACGGCTGGAGTTGCGTGGGCAATATGGTAAGTCGCAGGAGAAATGGGAGTGTTCGTGAAGAACATATCAGATTCATGACTTGCATGCTGGCCGGATCTTGGAGACAGATGCTGGTACGCCGAGGCCAGGAAGTCGTTGTGAGCGCTGCGGGCGATTGAATCAGGTGTGCAGGGTAAACACTGCCCATGGCCAGGAGAAATTCGATGTGCGCTGCATTGTATAGGTGGTTGTTGATGTTGATATCAAGATAGAGAAGCGCCAAGTTAGAAGCAGTTGAGATTCGGAAGCTACCGACTCCCGCCAAGAAATGCCCCTACGACGGAGCTCTATACACACCAGATTGTCAATGAAGAATTCACAACGCAATCTTTGCCCCTACAAGTTCTTTTTAATATATCTTTTTATCTAGAGGAGTTATAGCTTAATAATATAGGACAAAGATACTCTAATTTATATATATTTTTAGAAAATATTAAAATTTCTAGTCGTTGCCTCCTAAATTAATAAGCTATATAGCTTAAAACTCTAAGTTAGAGATTTTAGAATTTTAGCGTTTTCTTGAGTCTTAATATACTATTTTTAGTAATCTAAAAACTAGGCCTTATAGTTTTACTTAATAAAAATCTATTTTGAGATTTTTCTCGTAATATAGCTACTATTAGTTCTATAATCTAGAATTTAAAACTTAAATTCTTCTTAGGTTCCCTTTCGTATATCTTTTTCTTTAGACGAGTTATAGCTTAGTAATATAAGACAAAAATAATCTGTTCTTAATCTAGTATTAGAAAATTACTAAAATTGTTATAGCTATCTACTAGGATTAGCCTAAAATTCTAGAATAAAGATTTTAAGACTTTTGCTTTTTTTAAGCCTTAGTATACTATTTTTAGTAATCTAAAACCTAAACCTAATAGTTTCACCTAGTAGGAAACTATATTAAAGCTTTTACTTTAAATAAGCTATAAATAGTCTTATAACTTAGAAAAGAATATTCTTAAGAATTGTAAACTTTAAATTGCTAAGCCTACAATTGTTAAGAATATTCGCTTTAGGATTTTAAGACTAATAGTAAGCGTATTAAAATAAGAATCCCAAAATATATTTATACTAGGTAAAACTTTTAGGTCTAGGTTTTAGATTACTAAAATAGTATACTAAGGCTTAATAAATACTAAAATCTTAAAATCTTTACCTAAGAGTTTTAGGCTAATCTTAGTATATAGCTATAATAGTTTTAGTTATTTTCTAAAAATACATAAAAGTTAAAGTATATTTGTCTTATATTACTAAGCTATAGCTCTTCTAAATAAAAAGATAAACTAACGAGAATATAGTAAGAAAATAATATTCCTTTCTAGATTATATTACTAATAGTTTATATAATAATATATAAATTGAGATTTAGATTTTTATAAGATGAAACTATAAGATCTAGATTTTAGATTACTAAAAATAGTATGCTAAGGCCTAAAAAATGCTAAAATTGTTAAACTTCTAAATTAGACTTTTAGGCTATATAGCCTATAAATTCAATAGGTAACGACTAGAAATTTTATTATTTTCTAAAAATAAATACAAATTAGAGTATTTTTGTTCTACATTGTTAAGCTATAACTCCTCTATATAAAAAGATATATTAAAAAGAACTTAAAGGAGCAAAGATTGCGTTATTGTCGCTACGGTTAGAAGTGCTATATTGACAATCTAGTACGTATAGGCCTCCCTACTTCTCGTATCTTCTTCTGCGAACATTCTACCTTTTACGTTGCCTGTCTTAAGAACGCAACACTATCGCCTTTAAGCTGCCTATCGCTAGAACGAAACAATCCCGTAATTAACGCTACTAGTTGCAAGAACGCAACTATAGCGAATGCCGCGATGCTACGATGCCGCTATACTACGATACTACGATGCTACGATGCTACGATACTACGATGCTACGATGCTACGACGCCGCCTTTCGCCCTCGTAAGAAGATTAAGGAGTCTAAGATTAAGGAGGAAGAGCTTAACAAGACTAAGCCTATCTAGACGCGAGTCGCAACCTATAAGACATTTCGCAAGAAGAATACGGTGCCTTCTACAAGTCGCTTAGCAATAACTAGGAAGACTATCTCGCAGTTAAGCACTTCTCCGCTAAGGGTTAGCTCGAGTTCCGCGCTATCCTCTTCGTTCTAAAGCGCGCACTATTCGACCTCTTCGAGGCGAAGAAGACTAAGAACAACATCAAGCTCTACGTACGCCGTGTCTTTATTACTAATAATGCTACCGATCTCGTCCTAGATTAGCTCTCCTTCGTTAAGGGTGTCGTCGACTCTAAGGATCTCCTACTTACCCTATCCCGTAAGACTCTATAACAGAACAAGATTATAAAGGTTATTAAGAAGAACATTGTTAAGAAGACTCTCGAGCTCTTCTAGGAGATTGCCGAAGACAAGGAGCAATTCAACAAGTTCTATAGTGCTTTTAGCAAGAACATCAATCTCGGGATCCACGAGGACACCCAGAACCGCTAGGAGATTGCCGAAGACAAGGAGCAATTCGACAAGTTCTATAGTCCTTTCAGCAAGAACATCAAGCTCGGTATCCACGAGGACACCCAGAACCGCTAGGCTCTTGCCAAGCTCCTCCGCTACAACTCTACCAAGTCCACCGAGGAGACTACCTCCCTCGCCGACTACGTCAGAGCTCACGCTACCAGCCCAACTGAGTCGATTGCACACGCTTTCACTACACCACGCTCCCAGGAGTGATCAGCGCGATGCCACGCACGGAAGGGGCTCTATCATAAACAGCAAAGGCTACCCGCAAGAGCCAATCTCGCCTGAACATCCGCCATCCGACGACTTGGTGCACGCTTCCGGCCGAAAGCATCTCGATCCTCTTGCTCACCAGGACGGCGACGAGCTGCTAGTGTTGGGGTCACACCATCATCGAGCCTACGACGCGCAGCAGCACGACGATCTGGTGTCTGTGCCTTAGTCACAGTGCTTGCGGAGCGCTTGTCTCTAAGCAGTTATGGGACGTTGAGTTTCACAACCAATGTCTTCAGTCCTGGCTGCGATGGAGACGATAGATCTAATGGAGGTGGAGTCAAGGCTTGGTGGACAACACTATTGCGCATTCGCCCGCCTCGCTTCTTGGCCATCTCCTTGCGAAAAGCAGCAGTGCCTGCGGCTGACTTCTCCGTTAGCTTCTTGGCCTCCATTCGGCTCCGCTCAGTGGCCTCTGCTTGTGACTGGGGAGCTTGATGCTGATGCTAATCTTGCTTCTCGTTCTGGCTCTAATTCCGATTCCGACTCTCGTTTGGCAATTGTAGCTGCTCGGGATTCTGATTCGGGGTCTGGTTCTCCTTCTGCAACTGTGACTGCTCGCGATTCTTCGCTGCCTTTGCGAGACTTCCAGCGCTCATCACATACCTCAACGACGATGGAATTGGGCAGACCCAACAGATTATCAAGTAGCATCTCGTATTGATTGGCACCTGCGCTCTTGTGCCACGCAATAAACAGCGGAGTACGCGACTGAACGACGAGCTCCTCAATCTCCATGTTACCAGTATTCGACTACTGTAGCAGCTCCTTCCTAATTGAAACCGGCTCGCGAAGATTGAAAAGTTGTAGAGTAAGCACCGTTGCCTTCGCTGGGATATTGAACCGCCTCCTGCTATGCCAATCATCAAAGAGGATCTCGGCCTGTTCGGTAAGCCACTTCTCCATTAACGGCACACCATATCACTGTAGAATGCCCTTGCGAGGCTTCCGAGCTATAGAGACAGCAACTGCTAGCGAATCTTTCTAGTAATGCGCTGGTCCAGTTCGGGATTGTGCATGTTGTAGCATACCACTGTGCCTTATACAATACGATCCTTAGGGATCAGGTCTATACACTTGCTCTCGCCAAACGGCACGGGATGCACGCCTGCAGGATATGAGTGCATAGTATTGAGCCGCGAATGTAGTGAGTCTGAAAAGTGCGCTATGTGAAGCCGTAGCCTCGGAAGAGATGTAATAATTCAGAGAATTCTGCGCGAAGATGCCGGATACATATCCAAAGCGAGAGATATCGCGCTCACTACATTCTGTCCTGCTGCTCGATGCATGGTACTCGAGCACGCTTGGCTCCTCGACGGCTTCCCTCTCCCTCTGGCTCCGAGTCGCTGCTTGGGCTGTCCAAGTCAGTGTGTCCACCCGACTCTGACTCACTCACGAACAGACCACCGCCTGTTGCATCGTGACTCTTGTCGTAATCGCCATCGTCGTTATCGTCCGGAATGATGATTGATTGCATGGATTGAGCAGCAGTAGGCTCGCTGCGTTTCCTCTTGCGTGAGGGTGTTGTATCGAGGGAGTATTCTAGATGAACGACATCAGCCAAAGGCTTGGAAGGCTGCTTGTGAGGATACCTGCCCACGCCCTGAGCAGGCTGCAAACCCGGCTCTTGCTTGACCTCGTGCGGCTGCAGCATCCCATTTCCGCTCCTCCTCCTCTTCTTTCTCTTCTTGCCCTCAGCCTGTTCCGGCACCCCCAAAGCTGCGCATAGCATTTCCAGAACCTCGCAGACCTTGGCCGTTGTGCGCTGCTTGGACTGAACTGGCGTGCTGGCCTTGGTGCCCGAGCAAGCATTGTCAAGAAGCCGCTTGATAGCTGCATACTTGGGAGCAGCAGCGAGCTGAAGCACTTCCGCTGGCAAGCGCATCTTGACTGAATATGTGCGATGCTCGATGGTTTCGAAGATGGGCGAAGGCTGGCGAAGGCGGTGCAGCAGCATGTTCAAACGGTCAGCAGGCTTGAGCGGAGGGCTCCCGTCCAGGGTAGTGGTGGCGGCGGCGCTCGTATCGGCCATGGAGAAGTCTTGCTGTTTAGGACCGGAGCTTGGAACGTATGCCGACATGATCGAGAAGTCGTTGCTGAAAAATGAGGCATGTACGGAGGGAATGGTGCTGATCGGAAGTTGTTTTGCGCAGTTGAAGTTGAAGTTGCTTGTCTTCTGCAGCCGGCTGCTGGAGGAGAAGTCTTGGCAGCCGCAGCCAACAACCATGAATGCCGGCGTTCCACGGTTATGCCGCTCGCAGGCGTGATAATGATCTGAGATGCAAGGGAGGAGGACGCCAGATTCCCATGCATTGCTAAGTTCTTGTCCACCACCTCTTCCCAAACCTTTGCCTCGATTGCAGAGCAGTATGGTACCTTCATCGGCAAAGAAGCGATTGGGGCTCTCTCGCGATGACTGGTGTATCATGGCGATGACCATGGCGATGGCTGATGTATCATGACATGTCTTCAATGAAAGCGGTTACGCCAGATCCACGCCCGAGCGTATCGTGGAAGTCCTGAAAAGCCTCACCGAGGCTGTCGTGCCAAGGCCGACCTCACTCCGCATGTGCTGGGTGTGGGCATTGTTGACGACCGATTCCACCATCGCTACGTTGCTCTACCCTTGACTCTGTGAAGCCGTGCTCGTATTTGGCGACCTGTGCTCGAGAGGCAGTATTCGAGCTGTTGGTCGTTGCGTGCTCGGTGAACATAAGCCCGGTCTCCCACACCCGCAACCACCACTTGATCCATTACGACTGGTCAACGCCGCCAAGTCCATGACAGACAAGCCGCCGTGGATGCTGACGCCGATGCGATTGGTACGCTGGCGACGTGAGCCTGGCTTCGTATGCAGCGCTTCTCTATTCTGTGATGTAGGCGGCTTCCTAGCCGTGCTTCTCCGCGCCGTTCGAGCTTCACCCAGAGACCCCATCGCGATTCCCATGGGCTTTTTGGGTCAAAGCCGTCTTGTAATCAAGCAAAGGCTTCGCTGAGCGACCAGAGCTCAGCTTCGTGTGCAGCTCTTCTCCATTCCGTGATGTGTGCGCTTTCCTGGCGGTGACTCTCCGCCCTGTTCCCGGTTCAGCCAGAGACTGCATCGCCATCGCCATGGATGGCCTGGGTCAAAGCCGTGGCGTATTCAAGCAAAGGCTTCGTGAGCCGCTTGCGCTCGAGCGCATCTGACGTTTGCGGAAACTGCGAAGTTGCCCTCTGGTAGCCGAAGGCGAGGCGAGAAGTTCGCAGTCGTTGGGATCATGTAAGATATGCAGCGCCGTTCCGTGAGTGTCGAAAGTGTTGTATTGTATGTTGTGGTTTAGGAAAAGCGACAAGGCGACTTTCGGCTGGCAAAGGGAGCTCCAAAGCTCAATTTGCCGAGTAGCTTCGCAGTCCAACCGACATGTGAAGCTTAAATTGAAGCTTCTTTCTGAGGATAAGGAGGCAGGGATCGATCGAAGCCAGCGTACGTAGCTACACAGATTTTTCTCGCATCGGATTCGAGTGCTGCAGATGCTTGTTACCAAGATCACCTCGTACAAACACCTTGACGCCGCGCATCTCCTACTCCTACGAAAGGGAAACCGAAGAAAAAACATGCCGTACCGCATAAGCCAGACTGTGCTGCAAAAGACAGACCGTGCTGCAAAAAACAGGCTATGTCACCTCCACCCTAACGTGCCGGCTACCGCGGTGCTCTTTCACAACATCCATTTGGCATGCAACAGTAATACTGTAGAGTCATGACTACCACAACCCCGAATCGAACGTCAACCTATCTACCGGTCCTCACGAACAGGAGTAAGCGAGCCAACGCACTCAATGTCGCCGCCCAATCCGCTCCCATACCTGTGTCAAGCGGAGCATTCCGTATACGAAAGATGAAAGGTTTGTACAAAGGTGGGATGGCAAAGGACATACGACTCCATGGCTGTCATTCAGGCTCAGCGGGAGGGAAGCTACATTCATACCGGGTTGTGCATTAGTCGTCGATCATCAAACGACGTTGACTCTTAGCTATAGGTAGCAGCTTGCCATCTCTCACGACATCTCGTGGTCCCGTGCTCCTCTCGCTGGGATGCCTGGAGACAAGCCTTTACTGACTCGGAAGACTAGCGCAGTCGAAGAGCGACTTTCAAAACGGGCAGGAGAAAGTCTATGCTGTGTGGCCTGTATCGGTGGGATGCGAAGGAATGAATGGGTTTGGAGCACTGTGATCACTCCTATGGTCTCATTACTTGGGATGGAGATAGTGAGCTGGGATCAGAAAGGAGCCGCGGCTTTGCTTGGGATATAACGTGTCACTGCAAACCCTGGAGCTGTCCAGCTGGAACCTGAGCACATAGATGTTGGCAATCGAGCAATGGCGAGCTTTCCGTGCCGACACCATAGTATCTGTTGCGGGCTTGAGCAAATGTCTGGTCATATTAGGACTTCGACAAGGAGCGGCAAAGCAACGTGGACCCACGCGTCTCGGGAGTTCTTGTGTTGGCTCAACGTCTCAGTGCTGGTTACGAATGCGAGATCGAGACTCACCCGCACGCACGACAAGCCATTCTGCTAGTCTGGCATTTGCAGTCGGCCGGAATTGGGCGCTAAGTGAAACTGCGTAGAGGATTTCTCTCTAGGCCAAGTTCTTTGGCCGAGATCTGTTTGAAACCGATATGGAGGCTCCCCGACCTTTGCACCCGAGATTTGGCCAACGAAATGAACTCGACAAATTCTCCCCAACTACTCCCTAGGCGCCCTCATATCATAGAAGTACACTGACAGCACTGGATGTAATCATACCACATCTCATTTCATTTCATTCCATTTCATCTCATTTCATTCTATTTTATTCATTCCATTTCATTCCATTTCATTCCACTCTATCCTATCCCATTCTATTCCACTCTATTATGCCATCAATGCATTTATCATTTATTCGTAACTCATTCCCATCCCTGCCATCACCAAGAACCTGCTGACGTACAATCAGTTCCAAAGACGAGCTGTCTTCCTCGCTCGACGAGAAGCAAGAGAAGGCGAGACCTCAGCATCGTTGTCTTCGAAGGCGCGCTTCTTGGTGGGTCGAGCCACGATGATAGTGCTGCCTGAAGAAGAAGGAGGGGAGGTTGGCGGAATTGATGAGTGAGTTGGAGTTGTCGGCCGAAATTCTGGTCCGGCGCTGCTGCTGGGAAATCCTGAATCAAGAGGAAGTAGGTCAGCAACTGGGGAAGAGAGACAGGGATAGAAGGTCTGGAAATTTACCTGTGCTGCTGCTGCTGCATGAAGAGACCGAGCTGGTGCAAACGGGAGGGCCAGCATAGGTGTGTTGTCTACCGTCAAGCGTGCGCACGCTGGTGGGCGAGGCTTCGGGGTTGGAGTGGTGAGCATCAGAGCCAGGAGTGGAATTCGAGGCTGCACGATCTTCACTGCCGTCAACCATGCCATTGCTGCCCATGATGGTGTCGTTTTGGCTGCCGAACAAGTTGGGGAAGTCTGGCTGAGCGTGAGTTTGGGTCAGGGCAAGAGAGACAGTCTGCACATTACCGGTCAATTCATCGAAGCTCAGATCCCAGGCAGGGCCAACAGAAACTGTGGGAAGTGCAGCTGGTTGTCCGCCGCCATCAGAGGTGTCGTTTTGGCTGTCAAACAGGCTGGAGAAGTCTGGCTGGACGTCAGCTTGGCTCAGACTAAGAGGGACAGTCTGTACATGGTGAGCACCTTACCGATCAGTTCATCGAAGCTTGGGTCCCAGGCAGGGCTGACGGAAGATGGAGGAACTGCTGCTGGTTGTTCGCCGCCATCTGGCATGTCGTTTGTGGACATGAGATTGCTCTTGCCATTGTTCTCGAAGTCGACGCCAGGATTGGCGTCATGACGGTTGCTATCCGTAGCTTCGGAGTGGTGATGAATGACTTGTCCATTGCCAGCCTGTCCTACGCCGGCCTCCTGTTCGTTGTCCAAGTCGGGCAGCGCCAGATCGAACTCAGCATACGATGGGGACCCCAGATGGCCCAATGCTGTGCACATCTCCCTCACCTGTGTCAAGAAGGCAAGCCGGTTCTGTGACTGCGGCCGAGGGCTGGGTGATACGCCGCCAACCAGAAACTGGATAGAATCAACCTGCTTACGTGCCTGGTTGATCGGTCGCGAGTGTCAGTATCGATCAGCCTCTACTCGAAGAGTCTTGGGCATTCTCCTTACCTCGACATCGCTCCTCAGCAGGAAACCATGAATCTCGATCCAAATTGGGAAGACAGATAAGCAGGCTCTCAGTCGAAAGTCTTTGTGCTCCTCACCAAATGTGTGAGAGCTGCAACGAGTCTGCTCATGCAGGTGTACCAGGCTGTCCACGGCATCTGGCATGCGATGTGGGTAGCACTCGACAACTTGAGCAAGGAAGTACTTCATCTGCGCATTCGTGTTCTCGGCGACTTTCTTCTGGCAATGGGGTGCGCAGAGTCTGCCAGAAACGTAAGTGCATGAGGTTGATTTCCAGTTGAAGGTGGATTTGAGATGATCAAGAAGTGCGGCGATGAGTGTCTGCGATGGGGATGCCATATCGGGCTTTGAATTGCTACCGGTGGATGGAGGAAGTTTCGTTGATGAGCGATATGGCGGGTGACTTGCAGGCCGGCTCGTAGGATACTGGAAGAGATGGGAAGATGTTTGCCCGCAAGATTCTCGGTGCATCAGGTCTGCTCGCCATCAGTTCTACTGGGCAGAGTATTTCCATCTACTGGGGAGAGTATTTCCATCTACTGGGGAGAGTATTTCCATCTACTGGGGAGAGTATTTTCAGCGGGCAATCTGGAGTCTTGACAGCGGGCAATCTAGAGATTCCCCACCTGGTAGGGGAAATACTCCACCGAGTATTTGTTTGGGAAGTTCTAGGCAAGCTGCAGATGTCTAACTTGCACTGTAGACTCTGAGCCTCTGCCCAAGAGCCGGGAGACTGCAGTTGCCGTGATTCTCACCGTTCCTCGACACAGAATGGCCGCCTGTGATGCAGTGATTCTCCCCTGCGGTCCACAAGGAGCAGATTCACTGCTGGTTTGAAAGTGCGCATTCTCATCTCTGCGCAAATTCCGCTCTCCCGAAGGTAGCCATCCGTGTTGGCGCAAGGTGCGGAGATGAAATCAAAGGTATGAGACGCATAGAGGTTGGAAGAAGCGAATTCACAAAGGTCGTCATGATATTGGAGAACATTCGTGAGGCAGATGATTCGTGCAAGAAATACTTTTGCGTTTCGAGAAGAATGCAGTGCCAGAAAAGCAAATTGAAGTGTTCTTGCACAGTGTGGTTGGTGCCAGTAGAAGAATGAATGTGAAATTTCGGCCCTCCCAGCTCGGCAGTCGGCTTGAAGAAAGAACACACGTGAGCCTCCGAACAAGTTCCACTCGTCCACTTGGATTCGCCCTCCCAGCGAACGAGATGGTAGCACTGAACTCTGCACGAATGAAATGGGATGGCGGCAATGCTTCGAAACGCACGCGTGCAAGATGACTCGGTGCGAAGTGCCTTTCTGTGCAAGATCTTCTTTGTCGTACATGTTCCATCTTGTGTACTGCAATTCTCCCGAAGGTTCCATTCGCCGCGAAGATGTGCATGAAGTTGATGCTCATGCCCGCCCGTCTGCGTGTTCTCGCTCTTGGCTCTGCTTCTTACCCATCATTATCATCATCATCATCATCATCATCACCATCCTGGCACAACCGCCCACAAGTAGCATAACAAGTGGACGACCAACATCTCGCGTGATGCAATCCGGATTCCGCGGCGACGGTGCCATCGGTCTTCTCAACTGGTTGTGCGACGAGGCAAATGGTATGCTGACTTTGAGAAAAGAGCCAGTGACAGCAAAGGACAGAGGCACGAGTGATTACTCCAAACGATGAGCTGATATTGGTCCATGTCTTGATTCTATGCATTGCCCGGGGCATTGGAGTCTGTTCGGGCGAGGAAGTGTCCCTGCCAGCACACGATGCCTCAGCCATTCAGCCTAAGTCCCGATCGTCACTCCGTGACATCTCCTTACTCCATCCTGCCCTTGCCCTTGCCCTTGCTCTTGCTGCTGCTCAGATCCATGTCGACGAAGGCGGAGGCGAGATGACGAAGGCTCGGCATGCCTGGCGCACCGGCGATGTCGTCGTGGAGCTCGAAACGTGCAGGATGGTATGGGCGAGTTGGGCGAGGTGCAATCTCTGCGTTGGTCTGCGAGTAAGCGCGGCTCTGTGTGTGCTGCTCGTCACGCGGTGGTGTAGCCGATGGGTGAGATAGGCCAGACGCATTCGCTCCTAAGTCGAAGACTGGAGCTGGGTCGAATGGCATGCGCGTGAAGTTCTGTTGGCGACAACTAGTGTGCGGTGCTCGATGTGAGAACATCGGCGAGGTCTCTTCTGCATAGAGGTTAGACAGTGTCCAGTGGCAGCATAAACAGGAGTCTTACCGGAGCCAGCTGGAGACGGCGGTGGGATCAAATCGCGAGGTCGAAAATTGGCCCAGGCGACAGACGTAAGAGGATGGGAAGGCGTGGCTGGATCGGCGTCGGTCGAGGCGGGAGAAGTTCGAGCTGGTCTACCAGCTGAGACGGGAAAGCCTCCAGGACCATAAGAAGACTTGAATGGGACATTCTCCGGTGTGTCCGGAAATCTGCCAGGTGGGTAGTGAGGTTGGTCTGGGACAGGTGCTGTCTCCGGTCCGGCGTGGTGCTGCTGATGAGGTGGAGAATTGTATTCCTCTCGATCATTCGGTGGTGGACCGGCTGGCTTCGGTAGTCGGGAAAGCTTTGGGAGCAGCACTGTGGAAAAGTCAAAGATGTACAAGCACTGCACTGCGAGTGATCTTACCATCAGGAACCGGCAATAGCTGCGAATGCGGAGGTGCCCGGGCAGCAGGGCTCGACGGCTTGGTGGAAGCATCGAGTTGAGATTGACCAGATGGCTTGAACCAAGCTTTGATCTGGGACTGGCCCGATGACTTGGGCGGCCCAGATGGCTTTGAGGATGCTTCTGATGAGGGCTTGGCTGGGGGCTGCGCTGGCGCTGGTGGTGATGATGGCGCTGGTGGTGATGCCGGCGCTGGTGGTGATGCTGGCGCTGGCGAGATGTCATCCGGGTCTGGATACTTCAACGCCGCCTTGGGATCGATGGTCGATTCTGGGAGGTCGTTCTCCTCGAACTTCAGCAGGCGACGAAGGAAGTGTTCCAGATCGAGGTCCGACTTGGGAGCTTGGGATGGCCATATGTTGTTGATGAAGGTGCGCTGATAGACAGCATCGGT